ACGTCATATTCGGGTTTTTCCGGTACAGTTCAAGCCACAAACACTTTTATGGGGGTCGTTTGGAAATGATGTCTTTTCTTAAATTAAGATTTTTTTTCCTCCATAACCTAAGTGATCAGAATAATCATTTTTGTATAGATCCATGACAAGGGTAGAAAGTCTTATAACCTCTTAATATTCACCGTCATTTATAAACGACCCCCTAAGATCACCATCACAAAAGTATTGATCTCAATCGTGCTACTTATGAGCAAATACAATTGAGCTACCTCCTTTTATTCATAAATTACGAGCATAAACAATTAAGCACATGCAATTATCATTAATCGAAAATTATGTATGAAAAAAAATCTAAAACTTTAGTAATTTATTTGATTCGGTTATAACACTTGATAAATTGCTATTAACTCCCTCGTATCAGTGAAAATATTATAAGTATAAACTTGATTCTCCCACTTTTCATATACAAAGCTTCAAACTATCATTTCAGTTCTTCGCAATCGTTCGCCACAAGAAGGTGGTTTTCGCGAGCACAGTGAATTTATTTTATTTTTTTCATTTTTTATATTTGAGTCGGTTGAAAAGTTTCAAAAAAATCATTTGTGACTCGTCTTGATTAAATCAGTGATAAAAAAAAATAAGCATAATGAAGTTCCATTTTAATAAGCAGTGCAAATTATGTAAGAAAAAAAAAGAAATATTCAAATATTTTTACCACATATGCTTGTTAACCTTCAAGTGGTCAAAACAGAAGCGAAAAAAAAATTTGCATTAAATGCTAAAAAAAATTGTCGTAATAAAGTGCAACATCAGAGTGTCGTAAATAAATACACAAAGAAGCTAGATGTTATCATTCCACATTCATAACGGATTTTTATATATCTAGCGTCATTGGATTTTGGACTAGTAATTCATGAACTTGAACTAATTTTTATTTTTATGAAATTTCTGATAATGCCGTTGAGCTGCATACGAAATCAATAAGTTTCAATGTTTTATTTGTCAAGTAAATAATTTATTTTACACAATCAATTGAAGCCGAAAAAATTGTGTGTGATATCATCTAGAAGGTTTAGATCGTATGATGACATTTCAAATATTTTTTTAACATTGAATTTTCAATAGAAAGGATTTGGATCTTGTTCTAAGTATGAAAAAAAAAATCCGGTTCACATTTGACTTTTTTTCGTATAAATTATTGACTCAAAAAATCAGCTCGTGCATCTTTGTTTGCAAAATATGTTGATTCGACCAGTATCGACTAGAGGTGGCATTTGGGAATTGAAGGAGATGATAAATTAATAAAGTAAGCTGAAGTGGCTCGATTGCGGAATGGTTTAGTACTTTGGTACCTAATTATTACAATACCGACGCATGGGTTCGAGACTCGGCATGGGAAAATATTCATTTGTACTTTTTCGAATCATATGTACTGGAAATGAGGCTCGGAGCCTTCTTTTATAGGCTACAGACAACAATGACATCTGAGGAGTGGTTTGGATCCCGCTATAAATTGTAGGTCTAAGTTTGAGTGCAGTGGTTTAACGAACCCTCTCTCGTTAAACTATCTTTAGCCTTGTAACGCATTTAACGCGCAGCTATGAATCTTTAAAGTCTGAATGCTTAAGCTGATTTTTTTTTAACAAATTAATAGAGGCAGTTACTCTATACCCTAGAACTCAGCCTAAAGATTTGACTTTGGGTGGAAATGCATCAATTAAGTAAGGAGCTGCAGATATGCTCTAAGGAGCCATGAATTTTGCCAAAATGACACTGCATGAATTAGATTTGACTATTTCAAGCATAAATCATTTAAAAGCCAATGCTTAGGAAATAATCCAGCCTATACATCTTAATAATCAACTCTTCCTAATCATGAGCCTATTTGTAAGGCTATCTAGGGCACCTGCAATAGCTACACTTAAATTTTATATACATATTTTAAAGTTTAGAGCATTGATTTTCAATTCTAAAGCAAGTGTCTTAATTAGTTCAAAAAACCGGTCTCAACTTTTATTAAATTTTCTTAAACTATTAACTTTAGCCACACATTTACCAAGCAAAAAGTGAAAAAAAAATTGTAAAATTTACTTTATTCCTACGTAACATGCTGACTGACATGATTTTCAATGCGGATGCATACAACTGCGAACTACAAACAAGAAAAAAAAAAACATGAAAAATGCTCCAGTGAACGATAAAATGACACTTTTAAGCATGTCTTGAGATTCCAGAATCGTGAATTTTTTTCTTGTAATAAACTTTTTTATGTATTTTGTTAACAAATTAACAAGTGGATTAAATATTAAAATTATCACAAAGACGCTCCATTTATTTTATGAAATTTATTCTTAAGAGTGCTTCTTTAAAGTTCATTAATTGAACAATAATTCAAGGTGGAGAGATTTCAACGAAAGGTGGTCGGAGTTTCCACACGTGATAAATGAAAATAAAAGTTAATAATGAAAGTTTTTTTTTTTATCAAAATTAAAATTCATTAAATTCAAAATTATTAATTAAAAAGCTACAACAACTTTATAATATCTTTTCTTCTTCTTATTTTAAAAACATAATTAATCTTCATTTAATTTGAGGGTTTTTTGCTCATAACTAGTTTGATTAGTTATAGATGAATAGGAAGAATAGTATTTAAATAATTAGGTAGACTCAAACTCATTTGGAATCTTTTAATAATCATCGCCTGAAAAATCTAACAACAAAACATACCAAAAGTCATTAATCAAGATATCAGATCACAGCATGATCATGATTTGACTAGCAATGTTGCCGATGTTCCTTAAAAGATTAGTACTTAACATTAAAAATATCGAAAAATGGTTAAAATTTTCATTTATCAAAAAATATTATTTTGGTAACAACAAATCTTATTTCCGTATAATTTTGGGTTCTTTCATTGGTTATGACTTTAAAAAGGCATCAATGAGGAGATGCATTACTAAGATATAAAGCAGAGCTCGAAGCAAAAGTGAAAAACTCATCAAAATTATCAAAAATAACCAAAATTGCTCAAAACGTAATTTATCAATTCCATACGTCTTAGCACAAAGTCGACTAAACTTACTTGAATTAAATTCGAATCTACTCAATCTTTAAAATAATTAAATTAGAATCGATTTTAATTCAATCTCGCTTATATAAAGATTTTTACGACTTTATGAACAAATCAATCAAAAACTTAAATTTCAAAACATTGAACCCCCAAGAAACCACTCATACACAAAACTCATAAAAGCTTAACAGCGAAGAATAAGCAAGAAAGAAAACCGAAGAAAAAAATAAAACACGAACTTAAAACGAAATTGAAAGTATTATTGTGGATTATAGCAATTAAAGAATGCTTACAAACCTCTCAATTGTTTTAAGTCTCAAAACATTTGCGAGGTTTCAAACTTAAGCTTTAAACGCAGTCAAAAGCATGATTTCGTCAGATGCCAAATTATATGATAAAATGTAATAAATGATGTGAAATGTTCTATTTAATAAGTTTGACATTTAGACTGTCTAATTTATATCCGATCTAATTACACCTGAAACAACTTGTAACTTTTCATGATCTTGAGTTTAATGAGAATGACCGTAATTATAACATTTCCAAGATTTAAATTAAGGAAAAAGATAATTTAAAGTGCCTTTGTTCTATATAATATTTTTTTTGGATAGCAATTGTAGTTGCTTTGGTAATAAATTACAATTCAATCAGCAATTACGAATCGCTTTATTTTTATTTTATTTTTTGATCGCAAAGAGAATTTCGATACAATCGCACTAATAATCAATTCCTATTATACTTAATGTTGAGATAATATGTAAATGTATTTATTTTGTTTCAAGTTTAAAATCGCCATGAGAACATTCAAGGCATACAAAATGTTTTTTATTACATGTGTTATTTCCACCTTGTAGAGGTCGATAAAAGGAGATAAAACAAAATTGCGAGAAAAGTTCTAAATGTTAATTAATAATTGTTTAATTATTGATAAAAAATTTTTAAAAACGAGACTTAGATTATTGACGATCAAGGTGTTGGAGATCTGACTAAAACATACTTGGCTATTATTTTCTTCTTATTACTCAATACATATCACATACAAATACATGCACAACGACCGAGCTTATTCCAATGATTCGATTAAAATCGAATGTATCAGGTTAACACCATGACTAAATGTACTTTGCTTACATTGAATCTCTATATGCTCAATATTCGTGTTGTCTCATTTGTTTTTGAGAAGCTTACAATGGGTTGATAAGTTATAAAGTGGACACTTTAAACTGAGATGGCTAATTTAGATTTTTGAAGTGTTTTTGAAGAGTTTACTTATGTTTAGGTCTTTAAAATTCAATTCTTCAATCTCTTTGTTGTTTTAAAGTTTATTTTTCCATACAAAATTTATAACTGTCATAGAAAATTCAAATTGTTGCGATAATTTCAGTTGATTCTCTCCTCAACTGTAAACAATTATTTGGCGAGAAAACATTAAGGCAATTTGTTCAATATAAAAATCGTTCAATTAACCTGTTTATTACCTTAACTTAATTATTAGAGCTTTATTTACATCATAATAGGATCCAATTGTAGTTCCTTCTTCAGTTTATTATATGATATTCATTATTAGATAATTAAAGTATCCAAAAATACAATTTCAAGGAATCATCATCAAAGTATCCAATAAACAATTCATCTGGCCATTAAACACACTTAGTTGATTACAATGACAACTCGCATATGCAAATTAATTTTCCTTGGACGCGTTTAGAAGATGATTCAGCACAAAAGATTCTTAAAGGAATATTCTAAGAACAATTATCAATATTTGTTGAATTTTTAAGCAGTCATCAGCCAACAATTTTAGAATCAATGTTCATTTACATTCCGTTATTATTAACAGTGAGAGAAGAGTATTAACACTAATACAGAAATATTGAGAAAATCTTAAGAAATGAAAACATTCACGCGTACTTCTTGGATAGTACCTCGTTTTCAGTTGAAAGTCTGACGCTGTCGTGAGTAGTGGCTTTTATGCTCGGCGTTTTCGGTTTCTTATTTAATATTTATTTCAACTGAAGTAATAATTTGTGTTAAATTTTTTTAAATGCGTTCATAGTTGTTGTTTCACAATTAATAGTGTGTCTGTGCCCCTCAAAATATTTAAATTTCAGCGCATTACTTAGGTAGATTGTGCAAGAGCCCAGTCATCTCAAGAAAGTTTGGATTGAAGAGAGAGCTCGAAATTTATAAGATTTAATATTTTGGACACAAAATCATAATAATGTGAATTTTACAAATTGAATAACTAGGAAATATGGAAATAATAAAACATTTATCGATAACTAATATAAAAGTAAAATCAACCCGTGAAAAATAATAAACACTAGATTTCAATGCGTGTGCAATTTGAATGGAATAAAAAAAGAGAAACTTTTAATCAAATCAGCGTTATGCAGAATGCATGAATTAATACAATATTAATACTTATTCTTATACAATTTTAAAAGTTTCTTCATTTCCTTACCGTGAATTCGTTGTGTTGAATATGGAAAAAAATTATTGGAGAGAAATGAGAAAAAGAAATCGAATATCCGTGCTCAAACTTTTAAATACTATTAAATTCGTGATGAATAATATATTATTTAAATAAATTAACCAATTTTTTTTAAATTGTTGAAAAAATCCGTGGCTGCATCAATGTCGTCACAACAAACAACAAAATTGTGTTCTCTTAACCCAAATTACTCATAATTATTTTGTGCAATAATTTGTAATCTTTTCGAAAGACTTGAAAGACAAGTTTATACACAAAGAGAAAAATGAACGATGGATGACAAAAATGAGTTTTTTTTTTCTTCTATTCATAAAAAAAATACAAAAATTCAATTTAAGACAATTTTTTTTGTTAATTCTGCATCAAATACACGCAACCTGGCTTTTAATCGTCAACCTTGGATATCTCAAACTGCCTTTCAATCTTTTATAAAGCACTTGTATTTGAAAATTCTCAAATCTTGTTGTCTGGTAATTAAACAGGAATGTAGTTTTTGAATGTTTTAGTCATTCCTTATAATTGTTGTGAAGAATCAAAAAACAATTGCTTTAATCTCGACTAATGTATCTTGTTTTTTGTTGATGCTGTCTATAAAGTTCAGATGGTCAAGTCCGAGTTGGATGATTTCAATGGAAATTTGCATGTGCAAATTATTGAGAAAATTCATGGGAAGTCATAAGAATTAAGCTTTCTAAAATTATGACCAAAGGTCGAATGTTAAGTTAGGAAACCTCCGGGATGTCTTTATTTATTAGCATTCAATTATATTGTAATTAGCATGTGAAATTGACATTTTATGACTTGAGGAACTTTAATTTGCTTAGAAATTGTTAAGTCATCATTTTTAATAAAATAAGGAATTGATTATTTTGGCTGGTAGAATGCGGAATTGATGATGCCATTTGTTGTTTTGAGTAGCGACAAATCTACAGGATAATATTGAGACTTACTCAATAGTTCGATTGAATAAACCATAAATCGAGTCAAATAGAATCTAGTCAACAATAGTTGCATCCATTTGGGTTTTCAAGCTTACGCAATTTTTAAAGTTACCTCTTCGCCTTCAAAACATCTCATGTCTACCTTGACCCAAACCAAATCAAGCCCCAACTCTGCATAACATATTCTTTCATACCTCTAACATAGCAAAGCAGCAAGCAAAAAATAATAATTTGCAACCTTCCATCCAATAAACGAATATTTGCAAATATGTGATTTCGTCTTGTTGCTGGCCACTTTACTGCCGAGTGGTTGCCATTTAGTTTTTATGTCATGTGGAAATGTTGCAACTGATTGAGTTATACTGACCTTTAAACATTTTTTGCGCGTATATCAACCTTCATGATTGGTTTCGCATATCTTATGCTAAAAGGCTTGATGACACTAATGAGGACCGAATAAAATGTTTCATGTCTGTTAAATTAATCAATTCATTGAGCTTGTGAAATTTTTTTTCGGGTATTTCTAATATTTCCAAGCATAATAAATTATGATTTCATTTGTCGATTCTATAACAGCCGGCTTTTTTTCTTGGAATTGAATTATGTAAGAGGTTGCGAGCATTTCGTGGATTTCAATTGGATTTTCATGAGATAAATACATATTAAAAATTTCAAAACATAACAATGGGTTCGTGTGCTTTAAAAAACCGCACATGAAAAAGAAATAATTCAATTTACGTATCGCACACATTGCGTGTGACACTTCCTGAGATGAAATATGATCAAACTCGTATGGACGATATGTAGCAATAATGAGGTAACTTGGTTAGGAGTGTGATAAACTTTCTTAAAATACTCTACTGATTTACCAATCTTCACATAGTAACTTTTATATATATTTTTTTACATTTTGAAAAATTGCACACGTTTGTGTACATGTACTAATAAGCAAAAATTATATTCGAGCCAGTAAAATAACCAGTTTACCAGTTTATGCGCAATTCCATACTTAAACATTTTTTTAGTCGCTTTGCAAAAGTGTTGCAATTGCTTTCAGGCAATCTTTTTTTAGAAAATGCTTGGACTTTTTTTTTACTTCTTACTTCTTACATTAAATTGACTGTCCAATGACGTAGTGGTAGTATCAAAGAGCGGTGGCTTTAAGATCAATTATGCAATTTTCTGCAGTAATATACGAAACATTGACATAAGCATTTTCATTACTTACTTTTAATATGGCTAAATTGTGTGACGGTTGAATCTCCAATTATTTATGTCACATATAATACATAGTTTATGTATACATATGGCTTTATGTTGGTCAAATTGTTTCTTTCGGAGGCTTGCCAATAATGTTGCTGCAGGTTTCTAGAAATGTTTAGATTTTTTTTTTTTTATTGGAAATCATGGTACTTGGAAGTTGGTGTCTTAAAGACACTGTCTTTCTTAAACTGATGTATGTCTTCATACTTGTTGTAGTCTAAACTGCATTTGATTGAAATTGAACTAATGTCTGTAATAAAATTGATCTATTAATAGTGAGTAGGAGTAGTTGTAGAATTGGTCATGGTCGATAGGAGTATCACTTGCTATACATTTGCTTTAGGCTGCTTAGCATTAGTTTTATGATTAAGAAAGTTAATTGAAAACATAAATTTCGGGCAATGAGAGATGTTTTAATAATTACTAAGGATTAATTTCTTAAATGCTAAACGTCAAATTTGTGTCTACAGGACCAAATATCGTTCCTACATTGCTATTATCAGATGTACAATACATTAACCGACAATCAAGCTTACTCATCCTGCTTTGTCACACAAGCGATTTAAATGAGGCAAAGTTATAGATATCCAAGTAACAAAGCAATGAAACATCAACCAACTCTACTAAACTAGATATTCAGAATACAATTTGAATTTAAATATAAAACAAAAATTGTCAACAAGTTTTAATGAACGCAACTATGATTTCTCACCGTCAAAACAATTCCTGGAATAGTAAAAATATTAAATAACATTACGATTTGAAATTCCAAGAATTTAATCATATGTAAATCTCAAAAATTCCATTCAAACTTTAAGCACGCATGAAGCAATAACACCTACGACTAAAAAATTATTTAATGCATATTAACATTAATTACCGAAAAAAATTCCATATTTCCTATAAAAAAAATAATTTAATTCAATGTTAAAATAATCAAAATTCATTGCTAATTAACAGTGGCTGTATTTGAGGGATTTATGCCAGCAACAACAACAAGATAAATTAAAGGACAACAAATATTTAAAAAAATATATAATTAACAATGTACACCCGACGAAATAAATTATTTTCAAAACTATCAAGTACATTTCTGAGAAAATGGTGTAAGTGTCTTTCAATCACGTCATGTGCATGTATTTAACTATTCTTTACAATGTTGATATCAATTTAATATAAAATGTGTTAATGATTTTAAAGAAACATTTACTGATCAATTTTATAAGCGCTCGAGTACATAATTTAAAGCATAAGTGCCTCATGAGAAAAAAATGTATCTTACATACATAATTATTATGTTTTCACATATCATCTTCAAACTTCAAAGGCATGAAAATTATACCACATGAAAGCTTTTCGCTCTGTTTGATTTTTGTTCCGATTTTTTTTTCTTTTTCTGTAAAAAACATTGTTCATCACATGTTTCGATTGCTTTTAATGATTTTTTCCTTATTTGTCTACATGCTCAATTCCGGTATGAAGACCTTATTGCTCTTACATGTATGATGTATAAGGGCAAAAGATAAGATGAAATGAGTGAGTTTAAGTGGTTTGGTGGTATCAAATTTCAGTTTTTAAATGCTATATTTGACGATTAAGTGTTTGGAGGTTCGAGACTAGATAGAAAATTCTTCATATGCTGCTTTTGTACTAGAAATAAAGCTCATAACCTTCGTTTGAAGGCTTTAAGTAGCTGTGCTATCTAAGATTAACTAGCAAATTGCTAGTCTTTCTATTCTACTACTTGCAATTTACTAGTTATTATAAAAACAACTTACTGTTAGTAAATTACACTTGCTATTTAATAGCAAATTACTATGTGAAATGTTTGATCAAATCTGCTTAAGTTCGAATCTTACGAAAAACCATCAAAAAAAGAATTTTTTGAGTCATAAAAAATTTTATTCTAAATTTGGCTTTTGCCATATACTTCACAAGAGCGCGCAGAAATCACCTTTATAAGGTCGATCCAAATTTGTATGTGACTTTCTATTAATTATATATCTCCCTCAGGTTTGTCTGAGCGGGTCTTTGCTGATGCGGGTCTTTGGCGAAGATTTGAACTTGGATTTTGACTAGTAAATAGCAAGTAGCAAATGGAAAGTTATCCAGTAAATTACTAGGAAATTACTAGTAAATTTCTGCTAGGATTAGTGTCTTGTTTCGAAGACGATCAATCATCCTGAGATCTGAGCATAAATCTTTCAATTATCCAATCGGGAATGGTTGAGATCCTTGGCTCATGTTCGCTCCCTATTGTTAATATCCATACTCGTCATTGCGATTCATGGTTGACTTACCGAGTTCTGAACCCAAAATCACTATATTGATGTTGCAATCAACAAAATGTCAAATCACTAGACCACCAAACCACTTCAACTCATAATTCCGGTAACGATTATAGCAAAAAAAATATAATTTTGGAAATCTATTCAAATTTCATTCCATTATACCATAAGCAGCAAGATGAAGTAATTTTCAAGGTGGTTTTTCTATCGCAAAATCGATTGATGAACTTTTTGAAAGTTTAATGACTCTCTCGATTTTTTTTGTTGAGTGAAAAAAAGTTGAAATTAAGTAAAATTGATTGAGTCAGAGAGTATTAAAGTGGCCATTACGATATTATCCCTCATCTGTCAATTATTGAACAATTGTATGGCGGCACTCTTTCTTTTTAATTGGATCTGAATTAAATAAATCATAATTAAGTTGCTCATCGAATCCAAAAAAAAATCCCCAAAAGATTAAAATATTGAATATGATCGTAAATTTCTGTTTATTGTCTTCACATAATGTGCTTCAAAGACCCACTTATTTGCATATTTTTTTATGTCAAGATGAATATTATTTGCAATTTTGGAGGTTATGTAGAAAGCATTAAATATTTGGAAATTTTCCATAGATTTTGGCTGTTCATGGACTTTGGACCGGCTTTTTAAAGCTTGATTCTAACTTGATCAGGAAGTTTCATCTCTCCGATCTGCAATTTTTTAAGGCTATGATAACTTTTGGGTATGAAAATTGACCTCCTTTTTTTTGGTGGACATTCAGTGACCATGTTATATTTTGGATGCACCCACATACTTGAGACATTTAGAAAAATTTCCTGATTTACTTTATTATTTCAAAGTCATGGTTTGGTGACAAATCACATTGAAGTAATATTTAGACTAGGTCGAATGCAAATTAAGCTATAAAGTCGACGATGTTTGTGTAGGTCAGACAAGAAATGTTTTGCACATCTAACTCAAATGCTGTCAAAGCAATATAGTATCTAGGCTATCGAGCAATACGTAAATGAATTTGTGATTAGGCAACAAGCTATAAATCCTTTTTTTACTGAGAACGTCGATTCAAATCCAACAAAAGAATAGAATTTAAAAAAGACTAAAATGGCTTCAGTCAATTCACAATATAACAAACTTTACAAGCAACATTGATCTTACATCATCATTTATTCATCAAATGAACTTTCTAGAATCTATAATAACGGTAAATTCAAGCGTATTCGCAAAAGTAAAAGTACATCTCATATTCATCATAGTAATATGGACAAAGATCTCGCTCAGATCACTACAAAGAGGTCAAAAAACTTGAAGATTTTCTCACGAATGATTTAAAATTCTATGTGGGATTCTTCACTAAATAGACTGAATAGATTAAGCCGTCATAAGCAAGAAGTATATTTGTCTTAACAGTTTGCTGTGAAGAAGTTACAATGAATGCTGTTATTCGCAATCTTAAAATTATTTTGTTGCTTAAAAAGCCACAATCCTTGCCTGACCTGCCTTGAGAAAAAAATATTGCGGTTAAAAAAATTTTGTTGTTTAATTAAATTCCGTACTCAAGTTTTTATAAGTCATTGGTTATGACTAGGAAGTCAGTAATTAAATTCCTAAAATTCACCTTTGATTTTAAATTATAAAGCTACCGGGAAACTTCAATTGAAGTGTCAAAAAAGTTATTGATTCTTAGATTGAATGTTTAAATTGTGTTCCTGCTTAAAACATCTAGTATGATGCAAGATATAAAGATGTGCTCATACAAAAATATCGCAGTTTTTAAACGTCAAAAATTTGAATTTTCTAAAAACACTAACACTATAAAAGAAAATTTTCAATTTTTGTTTTGCAAAATTTTCAACTTTCTGTTAAGTTTTGTTGATACAGGAGTATTGCAAATGCTTTGCTATAATTAAAAGTAACTGACTAAAGTCAAATGTTGTTGCATCTGTCGATATTTAAATGAAAACTTGAAAATAGAAAATTTTAAAAAATTTTGTTTGTATAAGTACACAAAAAATAGTATGGTCGAGTATGGTCAAGTATACTCTGTATGAGCCCATCTATATATCTTGGTATGATGTATATAATAATGGACATAGCACATGAACAGCCCCCTAAGCTAATTTATTATTCTGAATCTTCCAAACATAAAAGATAAAATCTTTACAAGAAATTCTTTTAAATACCAAAATCACAGCATAGGCAATAAAAGATTTATTGTACAAAACAGAAGAGCCAAGGAACATTAGAGACTTAAAAAATGATTTCGTTTGTTCACGGCATGCCAAAAAAAACGATTAAAAGAGTTTGTTGTTTGGTCAACACTATTATAATTCATGGTAAAAGCTGTGTATGTATTATTTTCAATGTCTTCATACCTCGCCTCATGTACAATGAATGTTGAATAATCACTGAAATTGCGTCCTTCTAATTGCACAAAATCGTCCATATATCATTTGCCAATTAAATTAAAAATCAATTTTTATAACTTCAGGTATTTAGAATAAGTATTAAGTCACAAAGAAGTATATTGCAAAGTTTATTACAATCTCGCATGTGAAGATGCGCTGTCTGTTAATTGGTGATGCAAACCTTATAGCCAACAACCTTCGGAATGTATAATGAATTAAAGTTTCATATTTTTCTCTCTATGAGATGCGTTTGCTCATGACGTTTCCTTTGGATAAGTGTATTTTAAAACAACGTACTTGACAGTGATATGAGATGAACTGCAGAGTTGTTTTGTTGTGAGATTAAGATGATGCTTGACTTGTGATTGTAAAGAATATTACTAGAGGGATAATGATGCACTAGCTTTTAAGAATAACGAGCTTTTTTAATAGCCTAGCTTTACTGTTTTGCAATTTTGGTGTAAGTTGGGTAATCTTTTGAGTTGAAATATTAGATTCCTGCAGCTTAATATAATCCAGCAAGGCAAACTGTAATTAAACTTTAGGAATGTCGCAAGCCATTCACCAAGAGAAGTACAAAAGGGTAAACCCCAATGCTAGCAAACAGAAATTTTTGAGTTCTTATTATTCGAACTTCGAATTTTTGAGGTTCTTATTTTTCGAAAATCGAATCTTCGAAGTTCTTGTTTTTAAAAAAATTCGTTTTGAATTATTATTTTTCGAGGAATTTGTAATTTTAGTGAACATTCCTACTAGTTTTTATGATTAAGATAATCACTGTGATGAAATTGCATTCTTTAAATGTTTATGCTTTAAAAAATAGCTAGTTTAAAAAAAATAAGAAGTAACGGACTTTCTTATTTTGAAATTTTAAAAAAATACCGCGCGAAAATTTTGAAATTCTTTTGTTTGTAACGGACTCTGTTCTCTTTCATTTTTTTTTTTTCATTTTAATTGCACTTTATTGCATTTATTGACGACATACTGTCCGGTAATAATTCACATTTTACACTTTTTGTATTTGTATATACATATGAATTAGTATTATGTAGGATCAAACTTCTAATCTTCATATCTAGGCTTCAAATAAACTAAGGCTCTCGTTTCGATTTTTTGTGGGCGTGACGTGATACTTTTTAGGTCCGTTCTAACAATATTCCATTTGTGGGTAATTTTGTAGCTCTCGTTCCTGTTTCTCCCGCTACACTTCAAGTTCCTGACCCGTTCCTTAATCCAAAGTTGTCCAAATGCCCAATTATGGCTTGATCTCCTACATTAAGCAGTCGAAGTATCTAAACTTCCGAAAAAGAACAAATTTGGAAATGGCTGGATTCGAACCGACGACCTTCGAGTTACCATCCCAAATTTGAGCCAAGCGCCTTACCTATTCGACCAGCAAGGCACTTAACTGCTTTGCTAACATTGGGGCAAACCCTAAAGGGATATGCTCCTACTCATGATATATAGCACTAGATCAAGAGTAAACCCAGCAACTGCATGCAGATTAAGTGTCATTACGTATTAAGTCATCTGCAAGGGTGTGGTCTTGATGAAATGATCAAAAGTTATCAAAAAATTATGAAAAATAATCAAAATTGATCAAAAATGATCAAAATGTAATTTATCAGTTCCGCACCTTTGGTTATCTGTGGAATTCTTTAATTTTAAAAGATTCTAATTCTTACACCTCGAAAGATTCTAAACCACAACCCTGTCTAGATTATTATAAAATTTAATTTTTCTTATAACAACATCTCGTCACACAACTTCCTTTTCTTAAGAAACTGACGACTGCTGACGACATGCAATAAAAAATGTCTCATAAAATGACGTTCATTTATTAAAATTAATGTAATTAAGAAAAATCAACATTTAAAGATGAAATAATGTAAATGAATCATGATCAGCAGCGATTAGCGAAACCATTAAAATCGTAGTGGATTGCTCAATATATAGGAACAGGTTTTTTAGCACTATAAATGTAATTTGCGTTGCTTTGTGTTCTGAGTTTTTTTTAAATAAAATTCTCAGCTTATTAAATCCACACAGCCTTCCATTGAATACATAAAACCTAAAGTAACACATGAGCGTGTTTTGCATCATTTGGTTAGAGATCAAAATACATCAAGACAAGGTCACATTTTCATCTCAGATAATTAGAATTCAAATATTTGTAAATGAGCACTTAGTAAACTTCTCGAAGCAAAATATGTAAGCTATTGAAATTACATGCAGAGATTCTGCGAAAGATGTAAAGTAAATAGTGACGCACTACACAATAAGTGATTAGTTTGCTCATTAATTCACGCTAAGAATATTCATGAAAGCTTCTTTGTGTATCGACAATTTTTTTTTAAAAAATATATATGCTAAGATTAAAGTGCTTCACGCTTACAGTTAAATTGATTCCTAATTAAACTTTAACATTTTATTAATTGCAAACTATAATTTTCCTCTTTTTAATAGGGTTTGTGATAGCATTTTCGCTATGCTTAATAATACTAGGCGTTCTAGTCACATTTGGATTTTCTGCAATAGTTAATTTAGTAATTGATCATCAAGTAGCTTTAAGACCCGGCGGGCAATCATTCGGATGGTGGGCAAAACCACCAGTCACACCAGCAGTTAAAGTATATGTTTACAATGTCACAAATGCTGATGAATTTTTAAATAATGGTTCAAAACCAATTTTGGATGAACTAGGTCCATATGTATACAGGTAAGTCATTTGTCTTTGTTGATATTTACGTAAAATGAGCAGCAATTATGTTTCTAATGATGATGATGGAATTCTTTAGCAATATAAAATGAATTGTGGTTTCCACAGCTTTTCATTAAATAATTTACTTGCCTCTTCTTATTTTGCTAATATTAATAGAGGCGTCAATTGTCTCAAGACTTAAAAAGCAAATTGTGTAAGAAAATTGCAAAAATTGAGACAAAAACTTATGTTTTAGTGGTTACAAAAGTTAATTCTGATAGATAAATGACTAATCTCTGAGTAATGATCAAGCAAGCAATACTTAAACTTCTCACAAAAGATTTAATTAAAATCAAAAGATTTCTATTTGATGAAAAAATTCACACTTTCAGTCAATATTTCCAATAAATTTGTACTCACTTTTATTGATCCAAGCTTTCAAGTGCAAATGTTTGATATTTAAATTGATTTTCACAACTTTTCCTTATTGCTTTCAAAGGAAATTCTCACTTTAAAGTGTTCACAATTCATTTTCCAAAGTTCACTGAAGTTGGGTGAAATATTAATTTAAGTTGAATTAAATGCAAAATTTGACTTTTTAAATCCATTAGAATTTGCATAAGTTTATTTAAAAGTTGAAAATAATAAATCTATAAACATTTCATTCAGGAGATTGAAACTTATAATGCAAATAATCCTTCAAAATCAAACAATGTTTAAAAAACCACGACTTACAAATTGAGCCATTAAATCATTTTGCACTTTCATGTACTGATTCACAAAACAAAAAATGTCTTTATTAGTCTAGCCAACCTTCATGAGCCGTGGTTTTGGTATTAGATAAAATGGTTTAACATTGACATTTTCTATTTACATAAAATGATGCATATTTCGGCAAAAAAAAGCTATAAAGTAAACAAAAAGAAGCTTTCAGACAATAGCAAGACGTAAGCAAAGCATTTTTACATGTTGATTAATTAGAATATGTTGACGTAAAGTAAAATAAAAATAAAAATGGAATCCAAGGCTGTTGGTTCTTGCAAACAGAATATGTTATTAATGTATCAATACAACTTCATCATAATCGTCGAGTTAACCTTCAAAACACAATGAACTCATACATCAAACAGAACACTGACTTTCTAAATTACTTCCATTAATGCTACATCCAATAACATATGAGTTCACCTTTAACTAAAATGACTGATTTCTTACGGAAAAGGAAAATTAATTAATTTACGTCAAAAAAATAATAAGTTGTGACCCGAGTGGTTATCCTTAAGTCAATTATTGTTATTATTATTGGGTATTGACGTCATGTTAAAGTCTACGACAAGTATCACAGTGTCAACACATGTAAAATTCATGACACAAAATACAAGATGACCAATAAGATTTTAAAGTCAATTTTAAAAATAAGGGTAATGCTATTGTTTGTAATTTGTCTGTCTGTACGTCTGATTAACGTTTAATTTTGATTTATAAATTCTTTAGGGGCCGTTCACTTATTACGTTACGCAAAAAAACGACTTTTTTTTCATTTAATTTTTTTAAAAGACAGACGACAGTTAGAACGTTATATATTTCTTCACACCCCCCCCCCCCCCCTTTGTTACATTATGTAACGATTTTTCAAACCCCCCCTCCCCGCTAAAATGCGAACTTAATAAGTGAACGGCCCCTTAATGCCTTAATTTTTTTAAAGAAAACAAATTTTTGTGCGTTACTCCTTTCTTAATTAAATGCGCTTTCGTCAGTCATGTGTGACGACATTAACACAGATTTTTTGTGAACATTGAAAACAAGTTGCCGTGCTTACTTGTTGGCATATGTATAATACGGAAGTTTAATAGTATAAAAGCTATTTGAAAGTTTCAATTTAATAATGAAGCAGAAACGAAACATTGAATATTCAAACGCTAAGTTTAAAAATAAAAATTATGAAACATGCGAATTTCATAATCATGCTGCTCATTTTAATTTATATTTCGTTCCATTTTATTATTAGTTAAGTGCAGCTACATAATAATTTTATTAATAATTTCAGAGAAAAATGGGAAAAAGTGAATATTGTTGAAAATCCAAATGGAACAATTAGTTTCAATCAAAAGAAAGTTTATGCATTTAGCGAAGAAGAGTCAGCTGGTATGGAAGATGATGTTGTAATTGTTCCAAATATTCCCATGTTGAGTGCAACATCACAAAGTAAACATGCTGCAAGGTTTTTGCGTCTAGCAATGGCTAGTATTATGGATATTTTAAAAATCAAGCCATTCGTTGAAGTAACCGTCGGTCAATTACTTTGGGGATATGAAGATCCACTTTTGAAATTAGCCAAGGATGTCGTACCAAAAGAGCAGAAATTACCTTATGACGAATTTGGATTGTTTTACGGAAAGAACGCAACGAGTACTGATCGAGTCACCGTGTTCACAGGTGTTGATGACATCACTCAATATGGTGTTATTGATAAATACAACGGAAGATCACACATGACTAATTGGGCAAAAGAAGAATGTAACCGACTTAATGGTTCAGATGGATCAATCTTCCCTCCACATATCACCCACAACACAACATTATATGTCTATGATAAGGATCTTTGCAGACTGTTGCCACTCAGTTTTGACAAGGAGGTACGTGACTCTATTATTTAATTCGTGATTGTGCTAATTGAGCTTGCTTAATGGATGCAGCACACCTTTCGGAAATTCTTAACAAAAAAACCCATTTAATCTTGTGTAAATTTACTAATTCGTTAGGTAACCGGACGTGGAGGAATTCCCGGCTATCGATTCACACCATCACCAGATGTTTTTGCCTCAGTTGATAAAAACCCCGACAATTTATGTTTTTGCCCTTCAGGGCCACCTTGTGCACCTCATGGTCTATTTAACGTGTCATTATGTCAATACGGTATGTCAAAGATATGATTTTATTATTTACATGATCAATAGTTAAGCAATTCTTACACTTTGTCAATCAACAGATTCACCAGTATTGATCAGTTTCCCTCATTTCTACATGGCTGATGACAGTTTACGAACGGCTGTTGAAGGTATTTCACCGCCAGAGAAGGATAAACATCAATTTTTCATTGATGTACAGCCTGTAAGTCACAAACATGTTGTATAGTTTCGCAATTATTTTATATTTCATGCTTTATTTTTTAAGCTTATGGGTACAACACTTAGAGCACGCGCACGTGTTCAAATCAATTTAGCTGTTAGTCAAGTGCAAGATATTAAGCAAGTTGCCAACTTCCCCGATATCGTTTTCCCAATATTATGGTTCGAAGAAGGCGTTGAGGGTCTTCCCGATGAGGTTGTTAATCTAATGAGAATTGCAACGACTGTACCTGATAAAGCACGCACTGCTCTCATGATTGCACTTTTCGCACTTGGAATTCTTCTCTTTATTGTTTCCGTGACTTGTTTAGTAAGAAAGTCACATCGACAGAATACATTGCACCTTGATGGAACGAATTACTTGGCAACGCAGCATATTGATCAACAAAAGAAAAAGGCAAAGATGGATAATGGCAATAAGAGCATGTAAATAATGAGTAACGATTAGGGTCTTTGAAACTTCTGTGGTAAAATAGCTTTCATAATTTCCTATCAAAAAAAAACTTTCGAGACTGGAACACTTGTGGATTAGCATATGAATAGTTTTGCAGGATTATTTTCATCCAATCCCGAATGTTCCCGTCTTCAAAAAATCAATTCTATCATCAATGTAGCTGTAGTTTCTAATGATTGAATTGTGTCTGTTAAATTTTAAAAATTACACTGAACTAAAGTCAACTTAATGTCATACTAGGTTACTTTTAACTGATTTCATTTCTTATAAAAGTATTGAAGCCAACTTCAAGTTTTTCAAATTTAATTTGTTTTTAAAACTTAATTTGCTCAATAATTCACAAATTTTCATCATTTTTGGCACAATTCTAATTACATTAGAAACTATCGACATATTGTCTTTCTTAATCAATTTAGTCTAAGTGAAATTTATGACCATAAAGTAGATTTTTAAGAAAAAAGGATTATTGTGACAAATTTTCTATAAGAAAATAATTTTTGTAGATTTTGGTGGAATAGATTTTCAATAATAATTGTACATAAAAAAACCAATAAAATGAATAAAAATTTTATAAATTTATTAAAAGATTTTATAGACCATAAAGGCATTGGTTGTTTTGTTTATCAGCACGTGTAGCATGCACGAGAAAATAATTAACAGCTTTGTTATTGTTGCTTTTCAGGTATAAAGATTTTAACTTACACTGAAATTACGAAATTTTTCAGATTCTTTTGAAATTGATGTTTTGACATTTTAAAAATCTTGTTCAGGTAAGAGTTAAGGATTGAAATGAAATGCTGTAGGTGTATTTAAAAACTGGTATTTTGCAAAAAAACTGCTCCTTCAACAAAATTATCTGTTATTAGCATCTTTATTACGACAGTGCGGCTTATTACGAGAAAGCAGGACACCTTCATTACTCATGGTCAAGTTTAAAGTACTGCTATCCTTGAATTAAAACACAAGCTTTTGTCGACCGTAGTGAGTCTTTAATTTTAAGGTTAATCTACATTGCTTTTATGTTTAACTGAATTACATATTAATGGATATTAATCCAGTTTTAACTATAGCCCTTGATTGAATCAGGAAATAAAATCTAGTGTCAGACTGAGTGAATTCATTTTCTAAAAGTTTCCTATTTATCTTAGATAATAATCATGCGTAAGCAAGTCATTTTACTCGCCTAGAAAGCCTTCAATTGATTTCAAATTAAAAGCTTAGTTGATCTCGATATTTTAAGCTTGCTTATTCTCTCAAAAATTTAATATCCATGATACATGTCGCGACATCAAGTTCAAAACAATATCAATCTCATTTAATAAATTTAAAATATTGTGTTAACAGGTTAAAATCAACCTTTAACAATATTAATTGACATTGAAAATCTCCAGGCTTGTTTTCCTGTCTTCAACTGTCAAAAACTTGAATATTATCTTCAAAATATCACAGAATAAAAATTAGCATACAGATTAAAATATCAGAAAATGCACACTTAAAAATAGATTTAAGATCACAGAGTGCAAATAAGACGCTTACTTGGAAGAGAAGTCTCAAGGCTGATTTTCAATTTGTTTATCTTTATTGTATTAAAGATAATGTGAGTCATGAACTATTTTCTTTTAATTGGTATAGTTATTTATGTTTATGTGGATTCTGTGACTTGAATCATCTATTTTTGGAACTTAAATGTTTGTTCATAAATATCGCTCATCAAAAAACGAAGTTTTTTTTAGCTTTCTTGTAGATTTTATCATCATCCCAACTTTATTTCAAGCCATAAAATTCAAAATCCTTGTCAAATATTGAACGTTATTTATAAAAAATTCCTCATGGATATTGCGTTGCATATAAATGACACACATAAAATCATATTCACAATTCAATGGAAAATTGCCAATTATTACGCAAAATCTATTGTATGAAATCAATCCAATTTAAATTCGCATAAAAATTTTCATACACATGATGCCTATTAGATTACACAATGATGTCGAGTTTTATGAATTTATTGTATCAAAATTGTGCAGTTCTTTGTCAAATTCTTTTGTATGTTCTCAAACTTGTTTTTCAACTTCAAACTTCAAATAACGATCATTTTAGGCTGATTTTGCATTTATTTAAGTGTGGGAAAATTCCAAACATTAACATTCTTAATGTGCATTTTTAAACATTTTAAAATATATGCTTATTAGTATAAATTACTGTCAAAATATAAAAACTCCCTAGGTAGGAAGTGCTATGAATCAGAGATTTACAAACTTTTCCATAGATCTTGCATAAATCTTCATTTTCGTGAGTCTACTCTCAAAAACGATGTTTTTGAAAGTCGAAGACGGTCTAAGTTACCCTTAGTCCCCTTTTAGTCATTTACTACTGTAGAATAACTTATCACAAATTATGTATGCACGTGAAGTCACATTTTCTCATTTCTTCTTTTTGGCACTAATGCTTCATTACGTTTTAAAAATATGCTACGAGTCACGTAGATCCAAAAAACATTGTAATACAATACTTGCATTGCGACGAACATTATTATTTAATTAATTTTACGATGTTTTATAAATAGTTCAAATTTCAATTGATGTAGTTCAGTAGCAAGCAACCTGTGTGATGCGACACAATGATGTGCGGTTAAAAAAACTAAGATTTGCCATAACACATCATAAAACTCTAAATAAGTCGTTAATGTGCCGATAATAAAAAATATTTGAGAAGAACTGGTAAGAATCGAGTGCAATGCTTATCAGTTTCTGTGATTTATAGCTTTTTTTGATATAGCTTCCTTGATTGAATAATGACGGCTTGATATAAATTTTGAGAGATCCTTAGAATCATATTAAACTGGGATAACCAAAAGTCTCCAATACATCGAATACGCTGTAAAATAAACAATGCTAAAGACAAACAAAACAATAAATATGAGAACATCACCGAATATTCGAGATATTCCAAGTCCACATTCCTGACCACTATCAAGTTAAAAATGTGATAATACCATTTCGTTGATGGCAGCAAAAAATGCAGAAAATTCTGGAAATAAATTATAAATCTTCAAGAACCAGTATGAATTCAAGCAAATGACTGAAAATGCTGCACAATAGTCGTTGCCAAAACAAAAACAAAACCTAAAATTAGAAAGCTGAACGAAAATACTTTAATCTGTGATCACGACAGAATTATTATTGTGTTTTCACTTAACATTACGTTTATCTTAATGATACGGCTGCAGACAACGAGAGTTTAATAATAAATAATAAAGAAAATGCTATCGGATTGAATGCCTTTTAATATTTATTGAACAAATTTTTTATTATAATCAAATTAACATGCAATTTATAAATAAAATGTATTAAGCAAAACCTTTTTTCTCTCATCATTATTACGCTTGGAAAATTATATATAATTTAAAGGGTCGTTCAACTTTTATTTTCCTGAATTTAAAGTCTACTTTAATCCGATTTGCTGGCACTTCCAAATTATGCTAAATTAAATGTTAAAGTTGACTTGAAATTCAAATCAAATCAACCAATTTTAATTAAAGTGCGCTTAAAATTCAAAAAATATAATTTTGAACGCTCCCTGGTATAATTCATTTATATCTCACTTTAAGAAAGATTTTCTCAATAGAAAACTTTGGTTTCATTATGACAAAGGATAAACAATGAACATTTTCTCTGCACTTTATAGGAGTCGTTCACAAATGACGTAAATCATGCAATGGCATTTTGACGCATCTAGCTTCCTGGGAGGAATTCCAAATGTTATGATCTTGGTTTCATCAAGGTCGAAACAGATTAAGGAGTATCTCACACCCCTTGATTTAAATGATGTCCATCATTTGTGAACGAACCCCATTGATATATATACTTTACATTAATTATATATACAAATTCTTTTATCCTCAATCTTATCAACCATATATTGTGAAATTACCTAAGTTTTATTTACAATAACCCATTTCATTGAGCTTCTAACTCTCGAAATCTATCCTCAAAAATTCTATGTCGATGATCTCTGTCCAAAATTGGATTGATTGATTTACTACATTCAGAAATTCTCTTTGCAAATCGTTCTCGGTCCACAGCACCTTGTCGCCAAATATCGCCTCGTCTTGCTTGTCGATATGCGTAATTCCAAGCTACTATTTTATGTACTTTTGGAACCAGATTAAAATGAACCTAAAATGAGAAGACAATGGATTGTTGTTATTAGTTATGAATCATACGTTTCCGAAGAATAAAGAATAGACTTTTTGGGGATTTCTTCGTGATGTCATTATTGTGTTTTCTGGGAAAGTGATAAACACGATTTTTTTTGGAATTGCTGACCATGATGTGTGATTTATTAATGAGTATTTCGCAATTTTTTGGAATTTATTATGCACAGTAGTAACATTTCATTAGATATTTGAAATTCTTTTAATAAAATGAGTGATGTGATGAAAAACAATACTTTTGTTTAGCTTCGCTTCAAATTCCGGAGTTGTTTATGTTTACAAAAAAAAACTTTAACCATCAAATGACATTGAGTTTGTGGTCTAGTAAGAATTATTTTTATTTAAACTCACTACTTCCTATCATTCCTAAACAATCCCTCACCTCAAACCCCAGACATATTGGATATCATTTCTCAATGCTTCCCTCTGTTAGTAAACAACAGAAAACTTCGTCATAATATTCATTTAGAACTCCTGAATATAAAAATAACAAGAACTGATAAGGAAGATAACATGTGTGTATCATGCTATTGTTTTAAAAACGATATTGACATATTTATGTCTTATGGAGCTGAAAAACCCACTTAAACAAAACAAATGACGTCATACAGTCTATAAATACAGAAAGATTTAAGCTTGAACATGTCTCCTCTCAGCTGGACTGTTGACCCGTACATTACACATTTTCATACTAGTCTTACATCATCATATATTAAAATGTTTTGTTATAGTTCAAAAGTGCGTTTCGTAGGCTTTCTTTCATCACTTTTGTATTTGCTTCATGAATAAATCTTGGAATTAATGTAATTAGAGTTATTTTTAATGATTTAAACTAAAGGATGCTGACTATATTGAAATCTCAACAGAATGCATGCAAGCACGTGTTTACATTATCGTATAAGAATCCAACTAAGTTCCATTTTTCTTCAACATTCACAATTTATGACATCTAATCCTAATCAGGTACCGATCATATACGGCAGAATTCTCACCTTTCTTTCCTCGACTCCAGAATCAGGCTGATGTGAATCGTAATTCATAATATCTGACAAATGCTGATTATTATTTCCATCTAAACAATCTTCGTCCAAGTCTTCATCGCTCTCGTCACTTTCAATATTATCGTCAACAACACCATCATCCTCTTCATCCTCTGAAATATCAGATTCGTCCTCATCTTCATCCTCCATCTCGTTATCACTGTCAATATTATCAATATTTGTATTACTTTCACCGCAACAACTGCGATCAAAGACAATAAAATCGTCACTGCACTCCGAGACAGTTCTTGTGCGTCGCATCGTTGGTTTGAGGCAGGACCTTTTGGGCGACATCATAGGAATACTTAGAAGTTTTTTCGGAGATTTGACGATACTTGTGACCTTTTCACACAAATTATATCTTCGAGGAATGAATGTAGGCGTAGTTTTGGCAATGTCGTCATGAAATTTGACATAATCGCTTTCATCACTTTCGTAAGTTGAGGTTTTTGTTGTAGCTATTATGCTGGCATTGACTGTTTGATCATGTGATGAGGTTGTTGTAGTTGATGATGGTGAAATAGCAGGAAACTCCTTTAATGATTGAATTTCGAATGGTGGATTTAAGGAATTTCCCGAATTAGGCAGGTTTTCAGTTTCTAATTTCATTGCATTTATTTGTTTTGTATTTCTAAGTGTTGTTTTGTTGTTATTATTCACTTTCTTTATGTTGAAAATATCACAGTCAACTCGAATATCATGCTCAATACTATGACGATGCCTTTCGTGTCTGTTTTTGTTACTAACGTTATGCATGCTTTGTGAGTTTGATTTGGCTGATGCAGTTCTTTGATTATTATGTTGTAAATATGTTGGTAATGTTGTAAAATCTTCAAATTCCTTTTGAACATGTGATGGCTCAAAGTATGGTACTTTTGGCGGTAACATTGTTGTTCTCTTTTGTGTAGTAAATTTCTTGAGAATACAGCTGAGAATTCCATCGTTGTTAGGATTTAAGAATCCTCTTTTGCTTGCATTGTCGTTTGGTTTTTGAAGAATTGGAGTTTTGCAGCTAACGACCGATGCAAAAGTCCTTTGAAATGGATTAGTTGAAAACATACTAGATTGTGTATGCTGCACGCTTATAGGATGCAAAAATGTTTTATAATGTATATCGAAATTCTTATGACCACTTTGTTGTTGATAATCCGGAATTGATGAAATCTTTGATGTAAACATTGAAGCAATATTCATTATCGATCTCAATCACAAATTGTATTTATAGTTTTTTAAAAAGTCACTATCTTTAATTTTTTTACTAGTTTTTTTTTATTTTCTTTAAACACTCTTTTTTCTAATTCAACAACAAAATGGTATGCACAATAAAATTAACTAATGCATGGTCCCTTCCAAAAATTTGGATTGTAATGCAATAGAAAGTTTAAAACACTCAAATTTGACTCTTTTAAATGATACGAATTTCTCGTTTTATGAATTGTTCCTTGAACTTTACAAATTTTCTTTGTATGAACTGAAAATGGCTGATGAAATACGCTTGTAACAATTCTTTTATTTATTTTATTCTTTGTAACTTTTCTCTTCTCAATTTCACTTGACTTATTTGTTATCCTTGTTAAATTCACTTCATTATTTTGATACTTTTCCATCTTTACTGCATGAGGATTCCACTTATTATGATTTTACAAAATTTTAATGTTCCATCTTTTCACTTCAATATATAAAAGTTGTCTGTGCACGTATTGTGGGATATTCTACTACATTCGATTCTCACGTTCTATCACCTTGACGAACGCTTTATTTGTTATTTAACGGAAATGTCAAAGTTCCTTTCCTTTTTCATTGCATTCACTTTTTACTTTAATTTTATTACTTTTAACTTGATACTTCCTTTATTCTGTTCTGTCTGATAATATAAACAATAATGACTAGGGGAATGTCTCATATCTGGTAGAAGCGCGCGTTGATTCATAGATGAAGTACTAGATTCTCATTTTATGAAACTACGCAAAAAGTTTTCAAATATTTTTTGACCGTTATTTTTAAAAAACAAAACGGAATTGATATCTTTGTGCATTGTTTTGTTGTCAATGACTGGATACAAAGAATTAATTAACTGAATTTCGAAACTGAGATGAAATATTACTGGAATCTTGAGAAATCTATGCATGACCTACAATCAATTAGTTCCGAAATTTCCCATACATTTTTTTATCAGCTGACCCTTATCACGTAGAAAAGTAAACCAGCATTCTGTGGTTGTACAATGTCGCAATAGGTGATAACACGGATTATCAAAAAATGCTCAATTTGTGTTGCTAGTTAAAAAATCAAATTGCCGTAATTACCATTTTATACAAGCTATTATTAGACAATCTGTAAAGCTTGTGGCTTAATGATTTGTGACGATCAACTGATGAGCATTATTAATTGAAATGATAAACAGATTCATTAGAAGTAATTAGGAAAGGATTTTTTTTTCTTGTTTAAGCTGTGGTAAAATTGATTGTCATGGAACCAAAATGTAAGAACACAATCTAGTCTATATTTAGGATGACATTGCAGTACACACGTGATTCTACTCCACGTGCGTATCATCTTCTTGACACATCTTATAAGAATTTTAGTATGAATATTTTTTTTATGAAAAAAGAACTTTTTGCCTCAAGTATCCTATGTCAATAAATGAATGCATGAATTTGCAGAATTTTCTTCATTTTTTAAAAATTTGAGCAAATAAAGATTTTACAAAAAGGAAATTCAACTGAATTGCCTGAGTCTCGAATTCTTTCATGTAAAATTTTCATCTAAAAGCTTGTCTAGTCCATGTTTTTAGATTTACTGTGTCTTACTCTTACCAAAAATGTTTCCTGCTGTTAAAATTTTGATTACTTTTAATTTAAACTTTTCAAAACTTAATGAAACCAATGCATATTAAGATAACCTATTTTTAGATTTTCTGATCAATTTAAATTCAAATTTTCCTTGCTCCAGATTTTTACAAGCCTTCTTCATATCCTTATACATTACGGGGACATGTAAAATACAAGCCGGGAGCTTATTTCTAGAGCTACTCAAAGTATTAAACCCTAGAATCAACTAGTGTATCGAATAAAACCCCAATGCAGATATATTCACACCGTATCATCAAAAGTCTTGTGGATAGACCAAACTTTGCGCAGCATTAGTTTAAAGATTTAGAGCTTGACTAGTCAGCTTAGCTTCGCTCAGCATATGCTTGAAAGTTCAGAGTATAATTATGCCAAATTAGAAACATAAGAAAGCTTCAATTAAAGATAATTTTTTTGTGGTTATTATCTTAAAATGTCCACGTGATAGATGAATGAAGGTTATAATGTTAGTAAAGAGATTTTATTATCGCGAAGATTGGAAGATCATCAATTATATCGAAGCGTTTATTTGACGGTTTTTTGAAATTCAAATTTAATAACGGTAAAGAAAGACAATTTCTGAACGAACTCTTCGCATGTTTCATGTAACTGATTTTTTTATTCAAATTTTTGAACGCACTCATCACGTGTTTTTAACGTTAAATGAAAAATCATTAATTATAATAACAAATTCACTTTTTAAAGAATTTTAACCATCCGAAAGGCCAATAACTCGATGGAATTGAGCTATTAAAACAAACTCGAGGTCTTTAAAATATAAAATCAATGAGAGCTCAGATCACCCAGCCAAACGAACGAACAAAGTGAATTATTAAGTTCTCTTTTAGAAAACATGTTTTTAAAAATGCGCTAATAATTAGATTCTGAAGTGTGTCTTGAATTAAACAAGGCTGTGTATCACTGAGCTGTAATTCTATTTGCTGTAAAATGTATTCAAAAATGTCAACCAAGAAACAAATTTAAAAAAATTTGGAAGAATCAAAAATTTCAAAAAAAATGTTAAATAAAATTCAAAAATTTTCAATACAAAATTAAATAAGTTTCATTTCTTTATTTAAAACATAGCTAGCCTAAAATTAATACATAAATATCAAGGACATAAAAAGTTCACATAAATTTTCATTAAAATTTTTTTTTTCCTAAAACAAAGCAAAAAATTTGCATTGAATTTTTTTTTTCGGAAGTTATCCTGACTGAATTATAGACCCATAACAAACAAAAAAGTACACATTTTACATTTGAATAATATACAACTTAAATTATATTCTAATACATAATTAGCTATTTTCTCTTATAAAATGATCGACATGAAATTCTTTTTTTTTATATTAGTCATGATTTATGAGTTGTGTACAACTAAATTATCATAGCATGAACTAGAAGAGTTTAGGCAGAGGTAAGAGTTTGTAGAGAAGGTACAGAGCAGCAGCGCGGATAGTATATATTGTTGTGTAATGAATAATTTTCAATCTGAAATGACAAGAAAAAAATGAGTCGTGTAGAAATTTCGAAACACCTCAAATATTTTTTTGTTGTGGTAACTTCAAAATATATCTTGATATGACATTGAGTATGTCAAAGACCGTTTACAAAAATTGTTTTGCTTCAAGAGTACGTTCAGTAAAAATATAAATTTACTAGACGCACTCTTGATGCGAAATTTTTTTTGCGTCTTTCTCAATTGATCAACTTTTTGACTAAAATATTATATGACAAAGCTTCCAGTATAAAAACAAGATCCAGTCAGATAAAAATCATAAACGGAACCAAAAGCTAAGGTCCAGTAGCATTCAAGTCATGTTTGGAAGTCACTTTCCCAACAGTTCTAGATATCTTACCTTTGGAATCTCTTAATAGCTTGTGGAATTGTTTTTGGATCTTCCTTCATCAAGTAAGTTCTAATTCCGAAAATGCTATTTTTTATGAATGACGACCATTCGACATTTTTCATATCGAAGAAGAATAGCTCTTTATCCCTATCGTCCATTTTCATCCATAAATTCTAAAAAAAAATAAGCAATAATTTTGTATTTATTTAATCGTGAATACTTAAGCACGATAAAGTACTTACATCGACATTATTACGTTTAAATATAAATACATGAGTTGTAAAGTATGAAATGACATCACAGAGTTTATGAATCTTTTTGTATGTGTCCATAAGTCTATGAAAAAATAATAAAATCTTAGTAGAGTGACTTAATAAAATTACAAGAAAAATTACTTGGGTTTCTTGCCGCAAATCAACAGAATAAAGTCAACAATCATTGCAGGTATCCAGTGATAAAGGAATGTTAAAATTGTGACGAGGAAGCGGGATGATGACAACTTTAATGTATAATACCAAGCCATTTTCATAAGAGGTGCTTGCACGCCATGCTCAACACATAAATCACAGTAGCTCTCCCATGTAAGCGGGTTCTTATTATGTGATACAAAATTATAAATTGGAGGTTCCTCATATGAATTAACAGCTACGTCGTAAGCAGATGCGATGAGGGAATTACAGCACATGTCAACCGGAACAAGCTCAGCTTGATTCTCTTTGTGGACGTAAATTACGCGTAATAGACCAGCGGCAACTCCAATCACTGAAAAAATTAACACAACCACAAAAATTTTTAAAGTCAATATTTGCAGATAGCTTTTAAGACATTCAAACCACTTACCAATGCCCGTTGGGCCATACATATTGTCAATCCATCCTTTGATGGGTTCTTGATATGTTGGAATAACGATAGCGGGTCGGAAGACAGCCAGTGGAAGACCTTTAGCATGTGATCGTACATAATCTTCAGCTAAGCATTTTGTGTATGTGTATGTGTTCGGCCAGTTGCCAATAAGTCTGAAAATAAAGTTATTCTAAATTAGTATTGTTTTAGGAACCGACAATCTTTCCTTATTCTTACTCTGGTGTCATTTTATTCAATGTTGCATCGTCCATCATCTCTCCTAGCTTAATACTATTTTCACCAGTTATTGGCGTTGGATAAAATGTTTCATCGATGTCTGTTCTGTTACAATTTGCGAACGCAGTTGACACATGTACGAATGCCTGTTTTCGTGAGAATTTTAGATTAAAATAATAAGTCTATAAATAAAGAATAAACAGACTGCATACCTTAAGATGTTCCATTTCTTTAGCAAGTTTCATCATCTCCATTGTTCCTGATACATTTATGGCAAGTGCTAATTTTAGCTTTTCATCGAATCTATAAAATAAATTTATAACGATGTTGTTATTTTTGTAGAGTCATAAAACATGAGTCATTCATAAAATCTTGTGATATTATCAGCGAATGTATTGACAATGGTCATTATTGATGTTCATCTTCAAAGCGTCACTATTTAAATTTATTTAAATTTAAAAAAACTGGAAAATCCGTTAAATGAAGTTTAAAATGCAAGAATGAATTTAAACTTCAAAAATTGGTTAATTTAAATTTTAAAAAGTTCGTTAAATTCATTTCGAGAAATCAATTCATTTAAATTCAAAATACAGCAAAATACATGTCCAAAAGCTATAAAATCCCTCAAATGCTTCCAGCAAATAATAACTTAAAATCATTTCTCCATATTTATCGCGTCATTTCTTCATAAGATGTGTTAAATGATGATAATACAAACCTTACAGTAGCCGCCACATGATAGACGATGTCAACGTGTTTAACTAAAAGAGCGCGTTCATTAGGATCAATGCCCAAGCCGGGAAGCATACAATCACCACCAATTGAAACGATTTTGTGTCGAAATTTTGGATTTTCTTTTTTTACTCTTTCAAAAATCTGAATAAAAAAAAAGATTCAAAATTATTGCAACAGACTTAAGTTAATTATTTATTGTCATGACTTACAGGATCATCAAATATTTTATCTACTCTTGTGTGTACATCATCGTTCTTTTTGCTTCGCATTAGTATATAAATATTCTCCACGTCGCATGTCCTCAGAAGTTTCTCAATTATAACTGAAATGTGCAAATTTAATTATTAGAATGTTGGCTAATTTGTAAGAATTAATTGATCGATCAATACGAAATAATCAAATAAATGGCAATGAGAGTAAGCTTCGGTATTGAATATCGGTAGATTACGAAACGTAGGAATTCAAAAATCCTAGTTTTAAGGCATATAGTATGACACTCGACATTTAAGAACATAAACGATCATAATAGTGAAAATTTATTTTATTTTTGGCAAAATTTTGTTTTTGCGACTAGAGTTTCGCTTATTCTTGTTTTTTGCAAAATCATCTGCTTAAATGTCACAAGATTGAGACAACGTGTCGTTGAATTTAGTTGTATTGTGGAAAAATTCATGTGGTTTTACATGAAATCTATTCGATTAGTTTATTAACACTCTAAATTAATAGTCTGTAGCAGTTTGTAGTTCTATTAATGCACAGCCATGCATATGAATGAGAAAATCTAGAAATCCTTGCAATATCAATTGATAGTCGAGTTTATGACAATATTATGAATTTACAAAACTTGAAAACCTTTTTTTAAAGACACTGACTTAGATTGAGCTGAAAACGTCAGCATACTTGAGTCTTTGGGGCTTATTTTTATGGATCTGACTAGTTGTTCGACTCTTCGGTACCATAAAAATAAGTTTAATATGTCTTCATTTTGAAGATTTAAAAAAATCTTTTATAACAAAAAAAACCAAAAGTCAAAGTATTTTGCTTAATTAAAAAGAAATCCCAAACAACTTTTTGCCTTATCATCGACTATAAATCACATTAAATGTGTTAAAAAATACATGACGATGCAATCGTTGCAAATTTGTCAATTTTTTTTAGATGGGAATTTCCATTTTATTTGCGTCAAAATGTTAATGAATTTCAAATTTCAGAAAATTCTGCAAGTAATGCTTCATCTTAAGAGCGAATCACTTGAAAGGTTAAAAAGACGAATCTTCAAAAAAAATAAATGAATGAATGCATGAAATTAGAGAATTGATTTTGCAACGTAAGTATGTGCGGTTGTGTTATAGGGTTATTCATCTATGATGTCTAAGCAGGCAGGAAGCAGTTAAAAATGGAATTCGATGTCCTTAGACTAGAGTCAAGGGTGTGGAACTGGAGAATTACATTTTGATAATTTTTGACCACACCCTTGACTAGAATAGATCCTCGGGTAGCACTAGAAATTGTCTTCAGAAAAGGGAATATCAAAATTTACCCAAAAAAAATTTTTCAGGCTTAGTTCTAACTTTAAACAGGGCGTTATTGGAATCAAAACTCAACCCAAGCCTCTAAGAGCAAAATTTAAGAATTTTGTGCTTTAAAAAAGAAGTTTAAGGTTGTGTACCTTCTTCTTGACTGTGTACCGCATTTAACAAAATTACTTTTAATTAAGTAACGGGAGGGAGTCTAAAGATTCAATTTTTCAACAAACGTTAATGACGCAACACCCCATAAATGAGTAAATCCATTAAAAAAATCATTCTTTTGTACAGAAATTACAATTTACCAATTCTATGGCTCTGAGAGACGTAAAAAAATCTCAATGGATCATCATCATCATTAAGACATGATTAATTCATATTAGAAGAAGTAAAAAAATTGTTTGCCCTTCTCAGCAAATAATATACGCGTCTATTAATTTTCAAGCACATGTATAGAATGATTATATTTTTAAGACTTTGTTAATTTGCAGAGTCATTCACTGCCTCGAATATGTTAACCTCTTGCAAAATGAGGAGGTGAAAAAAAGGCAGAGAAAAATGTTATGACGTAAATTGGTGAAGGAATTGCCAAGTTCATTGGTCAATGATTTATTAAACATCTCTTTAGCCCTGTCCCTGAGCAATTGTACATGTGCGTCTGTGGAACAAAGCTTTTTCATACTTCATAAATCAAATATTAGCTCTATTTATTGAAACAACATTTAATTAATATTTTTAAATGAAAAAAAAAATTGACGGATTTCCAAATGTTATTGCTGAAATATACGCAAAATATTGAATATTTTGAAACAATTGTCATCATTATGTCTCTTAACGGAATTTTGAATGACGATTTAATAATGCATTGTTGACTGTTGTCGTAATTACATTTGAGTATGTGCCTCTATGTACAACTTCTTTTTTTTTATTTCCAAATGAGATCGTGAAGTAAATATTTTCGGTCACATTGAAAGAGTCTTTCAAGGTTGCAGACTATTCAATACAAGACTTTTACACATCCACTTTTATTCAGTCGTATTATCTCATTTTTCATCGGAATGATTTATCGGCTATTAATGGGAATGACTTGTGATCTTGTTAGATCATGAGGTGTTAGAAAAGATGTAAGTTTGGGATGAGTTCATTATTAAGTTTGATGGTACCAAACGCAATTAATATTGGTTCAAGGCTAGAGCCATAAATTTACAGATTGAGCCTTAAGACCGTTCTTAAGTGACGTCTTTTAAAAATTTGGATATTCAGATATAAAGAATCGAACCTCTGGATCTCAAACTATTTGAATAAATTTTTACTTTAAATAATAGATTCTGAGTGAGATTCGAACCAATATTCTTTGATTAACGGTTACATACTTCTATCACTGAGCTATCTCAAGCTACTCAACTACATGGCTTATTACCAATTATAAGTTACATACTTTGCTTTTTTTGTAGTTCTGTTCAAACCATTTAAGTCGAATTTTAAAGATAAAAATTATAATGTCCTTAAAAACCACAAATAATCGCAAAACAAAGTTTTTAAGGAAATTTAATAAGGGGTCGTTCACTTATGACGTCCAGGGGGGGGGGGGGGGGGGTCAGCAAGAAAAGAACATTAGAAATTCCAGGAAATCCATTGTTCTGTTTTGAAAAATGACCGTTAATTTCGGACGTGATAAGTGAACGACCGTTAACAGCTACGCATCTTATTTTTTGCCGGTTGATAAGTTTCATAAACATATTTTACGATTTCGACTTTACCATTTTTAGAGATCATTGACTTTTCCGCAAGACATATTGCAACTCAAACGCAAAATATTTTAACTCATATTTTGAAGAAAACCTTGCGTTTGTCTTTCATCATCCATAAACTATAACTGCCAAAAAGAGTTGTTTGCGAAATTGACAAAAATATGTGTTTCTTTGTAATCTTTTTCTTCCGGATCGTGATAGATTTTGAATATTTATTGATAAATTATTTAAGCAAAATTGAGTTTCACAGTTACTTGCTTACAAGGTGTGAACACTGTTCATCTAACCTTTTGGAATAAGTTCAACGAGTTAAACCGTCTTAAAATGAGAATCTAATCAATAAGCAGATCAGAAATTTCACAGTACACACCTTGATTCCCACCTTCATATCAAAATTTACATAAATGACTTTAATGGATGTGAAAACACCAAAAAATCTGCTAAAATCCCAAATTCGATAAAACAAGAATTACTTTTCCAAACAATCTTGAGCAAATAGACGGAAGCTCGTGCAAGCAGTTATAGACATGGCATTCAAATGTTTAGAAGAATTGGCGGTCAGTTTTTGCAAAAATGCCAAAATACCATTTATTGAAAGGGTTTTTTAAAATTCAAATCGCATGTCAAGCAAATGTTAAGGATTAATATTTATCAATAAAAGTCTTCTCACCTTTTCCTAAGAATCCTGTAGCGCCTGTCATAAAGATTGACTTTTTTCTGTAAAATTGTTGAATTGGAGTTCCATCTGAAATAGAAACATTTATTAAATTTTGTGCTGATTTTGATATGCTTTGATGATTTTAGTGCCTTGGTAGGGTTAGGGAGACTAAAGTCCATATTATTGTGGTTTCTATAATCAAACTTGACCACAGTCACCCTCCAACATCACTATATGACTGTGCATCTATCTTAATGGATGTCTTCATAAATAATTCTCATCAAGAATCGGAGATTCCATCTGACTCATCATTACGGATCACATTTTACGTCATAAAATTAGCGATGAATAAACAAAAAAAAATAGAACTTACATGTTGCTTCTTCTGCCTCAAAAATTGAGTCTTGTAGTGGTGCCATTGTTCTTATAATCTGTAAAGCAAAACAAAACTCTCATTAGTTATTGCTGTCATGGCTGTTTAATCCAGTTTTTATGCATAAAATAATTAATTTAAAAAAAAATAAATATTAAAGCACGATTTACAGCATGTTAAGTTCTTATTTCTAAGAAAAATATTGTTTTGTACATTTATGGTCAGTGTCTCAGAAGCACAAGTGTTAAGGCACAGATTTTTGTAGCATTTTAATTTGCTTTATTATTTTGAAATATTTCACATATGCGGGAAGTCTGATTTTGCGTATAAATTAACTTTTATATGCTGCATGCTTAACATTTTGGGCATTTGTGTGTGTATTGATAATTTTGCAAATCTTCGACTTTTCGTTATTTTTTTTTATCTTTAATGCCGGAATCTAAATTATCAACCAACGAAGATTTAGTAAACAAAAACATTGGATCAGTGATTCAACAGGCCTTTTAGATACCATGCGATTATTAACAAGGTGCGGAATTTAATTTGTTTTTCTTGAACTTTTTTATGGATGTTTTCAAAATTTTCTAATTCTTTTTCTATTTTAAGATTGCAAAAATTTTATATGCTTTGATAATTCTTAAGAAGCTGAGTCATAACAACAACACAGAAAGTTTGAATATTTTGCATCTAGAATGAAGTGTGGGTTTTCGATATAAGATGTTTTGACTTAAGGATTGTTCAAGAATAACAAATTTGGAGACTTTTTCTGTTTTTGATGGCTTAATACTCAGGTTGAAGTATTTTAGATTGTAAATTTTAAAAAAGTATAAATTAAAGTATTGCAAATAGTTCATTGGCCTAAGATTCTCAATAATGTAGCTGAATTAGAGACAGGGATAGTTTTCTAGAAGTTTTTGAAAAATAGATCCAATCTTCAAATGAAACTGTTGAACAAGATTTAATCAATCATTCAAAAATTCCTAGAATCAAACAACAGACGTAGCAATCTATGTCTGATTCTAATTACTCTATCCTTTAAGCAACCTTCTTGACAACATTTAAATGTGTACCAGTCAGGCTTGCTATACACATGAGTAGCTTGTTCTCTTCAAAATATTTAACTTCATAAGTGAATGATCATCGCTGAATCTTTCCAATTAAGTTTTTCTCAAGCTTACTTTAATTCACAAAAAAAAACTAAATTACTAGACAGTTCCAACAAGCCTTAACCTATCGATTAACAAAAAAGTTTCTATATTCCTAAAACAACATTCTAAAATAAACAAAAAAAAACTCCATATCAGTCGGTAAGAAAACATAAACAGAATGACTTTGATATGTCTATCAAATTACCATGACATGTCATTTAATTTTCTATGCTTTAAAGGCTTGAATCTTGTTTTTCGTCATCATAGATCAACAAGTGTCTATATGTTTTTTATATCCCTTAAGTTTGTCCTGTATTATTTGCTTATATAACAACAAAATTTACATTCTTGTGTTCTGTATCCAAAGATCACCGTCATTTTGTGAATGACATATCTGGAGTTTTAAAATCTTGCTGCTACACACCGCTAATGTCCATTAAAATAATACAAAATGTAGCAATTTGCGTGGTGAAGCTCTATAGATACAAATACTGTTAAATATAACATTAGTCTTGATTTAATTAAGCTGCATGAAGCATAATTATTTTTTTTTTTACATATTATTGCTATTGACATCTGTTATGTAACCTTATTGCACATTAGCTACTTAATTTCACACATCATTTAGTTCTTTTCGTAAGTCAAGAAAAAGCATTTAAAGAGATTATTGACATTTGAAACATAAAAAGCTCCAGTCAGCGTTGTTCTTTGTAAGAGATTAGACAAGGAAGTGATTTTTTGATGACACTCGAATAGAATTTAAACACTTTAATCATTCCTTTTTGGATGTTATTAATAATCAAATGGGAACTCACATTTAAAGTATTGGAAACGGTTGTTCCCCTTAAATCTGAGAAATTGATTCATGGTCAATTATAAAGCTCTCGATAAAACTCTCATTAGAACTGACCAAAGATCAACAGAATCAAATGCCTACTCTGTTCATTAGCTCAAAGATTTTTCCAGAAAAACAATTAATATCACTTAAATAAGTGTTAGGTTGTGTCAACATCGACAATTATCATTCGATCTATTTTGTGTTGTCATAGACCACAGCTGTATTTGCTGATTCAATCTGAATGAACTTGAGTAAACATAACTCGATCTAAAGAGCTGCCCTTTTGTTGAGACAAGAATCATCAATACAGCTGTGAAATCTGATTGAAGTTGGTTATTATGTCAGAAATCCAACCTTCTTGTACCGCGCAGCATCAAGCATTCTTTATATCCAATTACAAATTCCTAATTCACATAAAATTAATTATTCAATAAAAAATCTACAAGCCGGTTAACTACTGCAAAAGAAGCATATGATTCTCAGCTCAATTTTCATATGCACATGCTGCTATATCTATAGATAAATTAACCCTCAATCGCATAATCAGCACGCATTGAATCTAGTATAATTTTATTCCGTTACATTTCCTTGAGCTTGAAACTTCTCGAACTCTGTGTGAGTTTGCAATGCTGTAATGACTTGCGTATTATCTCAGCACTTTCGATTTTTAATCTAACTCGTTTGCATGGGCTGTAAGAATGAATATAATTTTTAAATTTATTCTAGTATTTCAATGTTGATTTTACGTTTACAGTTAGTGGGTAAACGACAAGACAAACATGAATGAGTTGACCCATTCTTGTCGGCAATGATTTCAGTAAAATTTTTGGGGGTCCTTGGTCGGAAAATTTTATTTTATTTTAAAAAATTGTATTAAAGTCAGCAAAAAATTATTAATTTTTATTTAAAAAATGATGATTAAAACCAGTGACCCCCTGTACATTTTAATTAACTTCTTAAATTCTATGTGCTATTGACGTCAATTCCCGACTGGCGTATTTAATTTGGATACATGGAATGGCAATATGTACCAATCGTAAACACAAAAAAAAAATCTTCAGGTCTGAAAAAATAATTATTTCCTCCATAAAATATCATTAACGCTTATGGTTTAAAACCCCATAATCGAGTATGATACGCTCGACCGTAGAGCATAATTAATTTTAATTATCGAATGGAGCAAAAAATATAAAAATTTTATTTTATCTGCCCTATGTGAGTGAGAAAAGAGATAACAAGTTAACGCTAATTTTGAGCCAAGAGCAATTGACATTGTGTCGAGCATTTCATTCAGGAAGTTTATTGCCATATTCAGTCATATTTTTGCTCATCACTACCTTAGAAGATCATTGGCATGGCCATTGGATTTTTCGCTTGCTTGAATGCATTTTAAATGAATGAAACATGTGTATTAAAATGAGATTTGTGGACGTGACTTTAGAAGATAATTCAAGGTTAATAACGAACAAAGGAAATTTAAAAATTAATAGGGGAAAATCAACTCTATTTCTTTTGTTATATAAAATTTGGAATTAAATTGATGCATGAAATCTTAATTTAAAAAGCTGTTTGTAATTTGAGAATCATTTTCTAAAAGGTCGTTTGCGGCTCGTATTTGTAGAAAATCTAAAGCATTTCAATTCACTTTTTTTCTAATTGATATTTTTCACGTGCATGGTTGATGTGCCCTTGAAACTCTTTTTTTTGTAAAAAAAGTTCAATTGAAGAGTTGGCTATGAAGTTTTGAAGTTTTAATTGCATTTTAATGGTAAGTGTCATTGAAATTGTTTAATAATTTAATTATCAATCATTTTGAAGTTGATTTTGATGAAAAATCTTTGAAAAATGGGCAAAAATTTGGTAAGTAAGTTTCAAAGTTTAATTAAATGCAATAGATTGTGCTTAATATTACATAACATCCAGAACGTGAACTGTTCATTCTTCGATATTATGTCACGTTCATTTTTACTGCCAATTACGACAAACTCATTGTATGAAAAAGGTAAAAAGTAAATAATTGTTAAAAAGTTGTGAAAAATTGAAAAATAAATAGAATTGGAACTAAGTACTCGAACATGTTCTATATGAAAACTCAGAGATATTATTAATTCTTGGTAGAATCACTAATTTTTAAAATAAACATAATGTTGCTATTGCTACTACGATCCTCATTTATGATTGATGTGTCAATGTGTTTCTTCATTTATGATTACACAGATATGAACATTACGCAAAATAAAATCGAAGTTTCACTCTAACTTTACATTATATAAATAATACACACTAGAGCCATTCATTAAAAATTCATATCACATAGCAGTCCCCATAATAATATATATTTTTTGCATCACATACAAGCAAATCAATAAATTACAGTAAAGTTCTGTTAAAATGAGATTTTTTTAGAAGATTCTTTCATGTGCCTTCGTTTCTCCACACAAATTCTTTATGTCAATAAATTTAACAATATTATTCAGTCGGTATCAGGATTTATCCATTATTCATTCAATATTCTTTGTCACAAAGTAAAGTACGACCTTGTTGACCAAATGCTGTTTCAAAATTCATGTGTACACGCCATTCATTAATATGAATGCGCATTGAACAGCATTATTTGAATATTTAAAGCGCATAGTGCACGAGTTGAGAAGTACACTTATCCTTTTTTTGCAGATTGACTTGCTTAATTGTTCTCTCTCTTTTTTTTTGCATATGCATTTGCAATTGAGGTGAAGTTTTAATCACTTTAGACAAAAGATTTTTTAATTGTTCAGCTCAAGATTTATTGATGTGCGTATGTGAAAATGTGCAATTGCGCTTCGGCATGAATTGGAATTTCATTGGTGAAATAGACATTGATGAGAAGTTTCTTGAATGATTTCAAGGGTATCACTTGAGGATAACAGTTTTGAATAAGGAAGTTCATGTAAATTTTTTTCTTGGTATCTTTTTTTGTTATTTTAAGCTCTGTTTTTTTTCTGTGTCAAAACACTTGATAGGGACTGTTTATGAATGACGTCATTTATTATTGAGATTATTGTCCTATTTTAATATGTGAATAAGGTTCAAGCTGAGTTTCATAAATATTAAATCTTTTGAATTATTGAAGTCATTCGAGCTAGTGTCTATGCTATGCAATTCTGTGTCATTCACTTATTACGATCATCACAAAATGGAGAAGTTGAGTCTATGTATCAATTTATGTTTGGCCTCATTGATGTGTTAGAATCATCATAAAATCTCAGAATATCTCTCATATTTTAAAAGACGAATGCTTCTATTAAGGAGCACTAAATTGAACCTAAGAACCAATATTCGAAGAAATTAAGGAAGTGTCTTTTTGGGCTTTGTTCATATTGAAAAAAATCTAGGTCATGCACACTACTTGTCTAGCCTAACGACTACATCAACTTAATCAGTGTTGCAAATGTAGATGTCTACACTAGATGAAGAATGTAGATTCTTCAATAGTTTTTGTCTAGCTAAGAAACTTTCTTCATAAAGATCGATTTTACATGAAGATAGAAAATCTAATCTACACAAAGATTATTTCTACATAAAGATTCTGTCTACATAAAGATTCGATGTAGATGTCTACAATTCTACATTTTTTCCAGGTCTACATCAGAGAAGAATATAGAATTGTAGACATCTACATCGAATCTTTATGTAGACAGAATCTTTATGTAGAAATAATCTTTGTGTAGATTAGATTTTCTATCTTCATGTAGAATCGATCTTTATGAAGAAATTTCTGTCTCAGAATTTATCTGATCTAGACAAATGGCCAGAATGCCACACTGAACTTAATTATTGGTTTTACTTCGTCACCTTTCATACAAAAATGTGTTCACAACTCAACTTCGAATGTTTGCCAAAAATAAATTCCAAGTCAGATTGCAAAACTATCTAACACACTACACTCAATATTTCATAAGTTCATCATACATATCAACAGCATATTTATTATTATTGCAAATTTATTCTGCAAAATCTCAGCGACCGAAAAAAATTTCCGGAAGAAATGTGAATTCATTAAAAATTATCAGCCAAAAAAATAATCATCATTTATACAAGTCAATAGCACTCAGGTGGCTCCAATATATTAATCTTTGTCTTCACTATGACTATTTTTGCGAACAAAAAAATTATTTTTAAAATATTCTTAAATTTGCGAAAAATAAGGATTTTTTTTTTGTTCATAAATTTTCGTAATAATGTTCCGCGAACACCTGACTGAGAATTTTTCAAGATCACATGTTTAGCGATGTGAACGATCAGCACTGATTCAAATTTTTTCACTGACTTAAATTCTTAGAAATCCCAAAAATCCACACAAAGATTACTAAGAACTACGACATGCTGCCAACCGTTAAATAGGTTTTTTTTTTTTAAATTTACCAAAAGATCAGCAATTAATTTTTCAATAATCCACAAGTTTTTATCAATCCAAACTGTTTACACACTTTATTTTTATTTTTTTTTAAATCGTTTTTTTTTTTAATTCCAACTTTTTTATTTAAACTTATTAGCTTCCTTTTTTTAAAAAAGAATTATTATTTATTCAGTTGTGTTTTTCACTTCTTTTATTTAATATTTGCAAGACCGCATACGATCGATACAACAGCCGAAAATAAACTAAAAGCTTTAATAGCAACTCGTGTGCTTTTATTATAAGCGCGGAGTTGCACGGTAGATTAATGTTGAAGTTTAAATTACTGGTTTTGTCGGGAAAACTTTGAGGATGTTTGGACATTAATTCAAAGTGACAGGTGATTTTCAATTTATTCCTTAATCTTCCTGACATTATCAATTTAAATCATTCAAAATTTATGTCAAAAAATTCATTTTTATAGCTGTAAAGAAGAATTATTTAACATTACAGGTGTTCGTTCATTGTGACTGCGGCTGAATAAGCATGTATGCAGCTGATGATGTTCGCGAACACATACGTAAGCTTTTGAGTTCACAGTTTACAGTCCGGTGTTTTGTCACTTTACAGATTATTATTTAGATTCAAATGACGCAAATAGAAACTTTTTTTTTACTGCATGCTGCTAATTTTTGGGTAACTGAAGAGATAAATTTTTGATGACTGGAGAATTTTCTTTCATTGAGATTTCTTTTGTTATCTTCTTTTTCATTCTCGCATGATACATTCGCAAGTCAGGTTTGTTAACTGTTGTTGTGATTCTGCATATCAAGGAGGTGAATCTGCAAGAATATGGAAAAGTTGTGAAATTTTTCAAAAAACCTGATTTTTTTTTTGGTTTGCAAAAACATTTTTGAAAATTTAAAAAAAAAATCTGTTTCCATGCCAGAACAGAACTGATGTTAGCAACTTATTATGAAATGCGACAAAAATTATCGAAGGATTATTTTGCTTACGGCAGAAACAGAACTTGCTCCACGTGATTATATTTTTAAGACAAAAGGTCTTAATTAGGCAAGTACTGGATCTTGACAGTCAATAAATTAAAAAACTTTTTTTCTTCTTATTCGTGATTACAGAGGGTTAAGTTATTCAAAATATCTGCTGATTAATAATATTGAACAGTCTTTGTCGACCTGTGTACCGCGGCACACTGATGTCTTATAAAAGATATGAATATAAGCTAATATCGGGGAGCATAGTTTGAGAAGCACTGATTATAAAATTTTCAATTTTAAATAAACTTAACACGCTAATGTGCCAAGGCACTCAATTTGGGAATCACAACATCAGCTTGAAGCACAGGTTGTAAACCACTGCATTCTACTGAACCTGTAAAATAATTAAAATACCAAGAATTGTATGAAAATATAAGTTTGCACCAATATCACTTTACAGCTAATCTTTAATGTCTAGATCTGATCTATTTTAATTGCTGTTCAAATTATAGACTTCACAATTGTCCCTCAGATTGATGAACATCGATGATAGAGCGTCAGGAATACTAATTAAAATTTAATTACATAAATTGTATCAACGCTCATGCAGCATTAATCAATATAGTTCATAAGATTATCACAAAAAAAATCATTTAATCAGCTTATATTTGTGTCAACCACCCGATTTACTGCTGTACATTGTTTTAATGTCATATCCTGTTTTTTAACTAGTTGTAATCCTTTAACTTGACTATCTGCTCATTCGTTGGAGCAACATATGACAAAAAAAAAAATTAAATACAAATTGATGAAGCACAAGTTTTTAATTCTTAAAATATTTACAATATTTGCTGGACACTTGAGAATTTTTGTCTTAGCGTCATTCCTATATACATGGTATGAATTAATTTTTTGCTCAGTCATCCTCACGTTTCACATTTTTATTTTTTGCAGAAGAAAGTAAACAAAAATAAATAAATTTTAAAACATCATACACATCTAAATAAAGGTGAGGTAGTATTTGGAACGAAACGAAACATGTTAAATGGTACATTGACGCATCGTTAAAGAACTCGTCTTGTTCTTATTATGGCCACAAAAGGTTTCATTATAAATTTTATATTGAGTATCCGAAATAAATAAAAATTTATTAAGTTATGGCTGTAAATGGTCGACAGGAGCGCATTTCTAATAACTTAATAACATTGTTATATATTAGGATAAGGGGCTGTTCATAAGTGACGTAATACACATTTAGAAGGAGTTTTTAAAATCTCGTTTCTCAATGGATATCATCAATTCGTTTCGCAGTCCAAGTAACCAAAAGGTAGATCAACTTTTTCCATGAGAATCTTCCATGGATGATACATATGTATTATTCATGTATTATCCATTAGAAGATGATGTCCTATGAAATTGGAAGATAAATGTGCAATGCAACAAGTCATAAATGTAATACTTCAAAAGGAAAACAAATGGATTACTCATACTGATGAACGCTCAAGACTCGCACACAAACCTGAGGAACATAAATAATTAATTGAAAGCCTCATACAAATTAAGAGAGAACTTATAATAGTGATATCTGCGAGCTCTTGTGAAGTATATGGCAAATGCCAAATTTAAAACAAACTAGTGTATCGGGTAGAAACCCAATGCGGATATATTCACACCGTACCATCAAAAGTCTTATGGATAGACCAAGATTTGCTCAGCATAAGTTTGAAGAGTGGGCGTGAAGTACGGCCGAGTCCCATATCGACACAGTTCAAAAGTTATACCTAATTTATGTCAGCTAGAAAAACACTTAGTTTGAATTTTGTCAACCTCGGGAACACTATGAACCAGTATAGCTGATTTTGGTCCAAATCTCGGCCATACTTCCCACTTATTTGAACCACATTTTCTCGTAAATGTTAAACAATATTAAAAAAAATTAATCCTGAATTATGTCGCTTTTTTGTCAAGTGTTTTAAGATAAAGAATTTGTTTTTTGGTTTCCACAGTGAAGAGTATGAACAAAAATCAGATAAGGTAGTCGAAATTTTAGATTTCGGTTTTTTTAAGCTATTTATTGCAAAAAATAATATTGGTATGTGATTTATGTCAGAATTATGTCAATTCAAATAAAACATCCTAAAATTTTTTTGAGCAAAGAACCAAGTAGGAAATACATTTTCAATTTTGGACTAGGGGCGACCCTAGTCAAAATCTCGTTTTTCACTTTTTTTCCCTTCGAGGATAAATCCAAATACAGTAAAACTTTGTATGAGCATTCTAATCCTCAGGTCACACATTTCTGAATTAGTAAAAATCATTTTTACATATAGAATACATTTCTTGCTTTAAATATTTAAAACTGTTTTGTATAAATATTAGTATACTCACACAAAGTTTCACTGTAATTGGATAAACCATCGAAGAAAAAAGTGAAAAACTAGATTTTGACTAGGGTCGCCCCTAGTCCAAAATTGAAAATGTATTTCCTACTTGGTTCTTTGCACAAAAAACTTTTAAGATGTTTTATTCGTATTTGTTTTAAGCACTAGAATATTTATGCAAAGTTTCACTGTAATTGGATAAACCATCGAAGAAAAAAGTGAAAAACTAGATTTTGACTAGGGTCGCCCCTAGTCCAAAATTGAAAATGTATTTCCTACTTGGTTCTTTGCACAAAAAACTTTTAAGATGTTTTATTCGTATTTGTTTTAAGCACTAGAATATTTATGCAAAGTTTCAATCCATTTGTATAAACCCTCGAAGAAAAAATGTGACAAAATTGATTTTGACTAGGTTGCCCCTAGTCCAAAATTGAAAATGTATTTCCTTCTTGGTTCTTTGCTCAAAAAAATTTTAAGATGTTTTATTTGTATTTGTTTTAAGCACTAGAATATTTATGCAAAGTTTCAATCCATTTGGAAAACCCCTCGAAGAAAAAAGTGACAAAATTGATTTTGACTAGGGTCGCCCCTAGTCCAAAATTGAAAATGTATTTCCTACTTGGTTCTTTGCTCAAAAAAATTTTAGGATGTTTTATTTGTATTTGTTTTAAGCACTAGAATATTTATGCAAAGTTTCAATCCATTTGGAAAACCCCTCGAAGAAAAAAGTGACAAAATTGATTTTGACTAGGGTCGCCCCTAGTCCAAAATTGAAAATGTATTTCCTACTTGGTTCTTTGCTCAAAAAAATTTTAGGATGTTTTATTTGTATTTGTTTTAAGCACTAGAATATTTATGCAAAGTTTCAATCCATTTGGAAAACCCCTCGAAGAAAAAAGTGACAAAATTGATTTTGACTAGGGTCGCCCCTAGTCCAAAATTGAAAATGTATTTCCTACTTGGTTCTTTGCTCAAAAAAATTTTAGGATGTTTTATTTGTATTTGTTTTAAGCACTAGAATATTTATGCAAAGTTTCAATCCATTTGGAAAACCCCTCGAAGAAAAAAGTGACAAAATTGATTTTGACTAGGGTCGCCCCCAGTCCAAAATTGAAAATGTATTTCCTACTTGGTTCTTTGCTCAAAAAAATTTTGGGATGTTTTATTTGTATTTGTTTTAAGCACTAGAATATTTATGCAAAGTTTCAATCCATTTGGAAAACCCCTCGAAGAAAAAAGTGACAAAATTGATTTTGACTAGGGTCGCCCCTAGTCCAAAATTGAAAATGTATTTCCTACTTGGTTCTTTGCTCAAAAAAATTTTAGGATGTTTTATTTGTATTTGTTTTAAGCACTAGAATATTTATGCAAAGTTTCAATCCATTTGGAAAACCCCTCGAAGAAAAAAGTGACAAAATTGATTTTGACAAGGGTCGCCCCCAGTCCAAAATTGAAAATGTATTTCCTACTTGGTTCTTTGCTCAAAAAACTTTTCAGATGAGTTTTTGTATTTGTCATAAGCACTAGAATATTTATGCAAAGTTTCAATCCATTTGGAAAACCCCTCGAAGAAAAAAGTGACAAAATTGATTTTGACTAGGGTCGCCCCTAGTCCAAAATTGAAAATGTATTTCCTACTTGGTTCTTTGCTCAAAAAAATTTTAGGATGTTTTATTTGTATTTGTTTTAAGCACTAGAATATTTATGCAAAGTTTCAATCCATTTGGAAAACCCCTCGAAGAAAAAAGTGACAAACTAGATTTTGACTAGGGTCGCCCCTAGTCCAAAATTGAAAATGTATTTCCTACTTGGTTCTTTGCTCAAAAAAATTTTGGGATGTTTTATTTGTATTTGTTTTAAGCACTAGAATATTTATGCAAAGTTTCAATCCATTTGGAAAACCCCTCGAAGAAAAAAGTGACAAAATTGATTTTGACTAGGGTCGCCCCTAGTCCAAAATTGAAAATGTATTTCCTACTTGGTTCTTTGCTCAAAAAAATTTTAGGATGTTTTATTTGTATTTGTTTTAAGCACTAGAATATTTATGCAAAGTTTCAATCCATTTGGAAAACCCCTCGAAGAAAAAAGTGACAAAATTGATTTTGACTAGGGTCGCCCCTAGTAGGGTTTGGAGAATCTGTTAACAGAAAACAGAAAAACAGCTGTTTTTCGACAAAAATCTGTTAACAGAAAACAGGTCTCAAAAACAGATCTGTTTTCTGTTTTTCATTTTTACATAAAATTTACAGAAAAAAAAATTTCTTAATTTTTTGAAGAACTTAATATATTTTTCTAGCATTTCAAATTGAAATGTATTTACTATTTTAATATTTTTTGGATGTTGTATAGGTTTGAAATCATTATCAAATTTATGGTTTATCATTATTAATTTTGCAATCGAAATTTTAAATTTGTTGAACCTTTTGTAGCATTTACTAAAGTTTAAAAATATAATCAACAATTTTACAAGATATTTTTTTATTCAGAAAGATTTTTTGAATATTTCAAATAAAATATTAAAGCTTATGGAACTTTTACAATCAACAATGCAATGTTACTTAAAGGTATAATTTTTTTTGGATTTTTTTTTTGAATTTTTATATTTCATTATATTTTTTAGAGTTAATTAACATAAAAAATAAGAAATAATAATGCTTAGCTCTAAAATGTATGCTTAACTGCTTATAACCACCAAAAAGTTTCATTATCTTAGAGAAACACTTAGGATAACTCAGTTTATTTTGAATTCTAGAAAAACAGGAAAACAGCTGTTTTTAAAAATCAAAAACCGAAAACAGACTGTTTTTCAAAAACAGCTGTTTTCCACAAACCCTAGCCCTTAGTCCAAAATTGAAAATGTATTTCCTTCTTGGTTATTTGCTCAAAAAAGTTTTTTCATCCAAACTTTAATTAAAAAAAAAATCACAGTGAACTTTTAATTTGAAAAATTCGTAACAAAGGAAAGTTTTTTACTTTTTCTGAAGCAACGGCTGTTCCTACCTTGCCCAAAAACAATACAGCTCTTCTATAGAGCAGCACGGATCAAATGTAAAAAACTAAAAGTCTCTACGATGACTTGTTATTGAGATTTCTTGCTGATTAACTTGCTTGTTTGCTTGCTTACAGAAAGCATATTTTTCTCAGCAATGCCGCAACCAATTTGAAATCTGTTTTTTGCAAAAGATGTGAAATTCAAGGCACAAACTTTTCATCTCTGAACATTTTAAGCTATTTTGCTCCATATCCTCACAAAATTCTAAAAACTGATTTTTCAATCTGAACAAAACCAATAGATTCACACGTGAAAACGGCGTGAATATAATCACACGTGAAAACGGTGTGAATATAATATTATTTTCCTGCAAAAAAATATTTTTTGATGATTTTTCATAGGAAGCGGGCTCGGGTTACACTTCGATGGAACACTTTTGTTACATGTTCGTAAAACATATATTTTACATATAATAAATAATGATACATTTGATCTTCCATCGACGTCGAAGGAAGATTATATGAAACATTTTGGTTACTTGGTAGCTAATGAGAGTTAAACGAGTGAGGATTCGCCAAATCACTGCACTTAAAACTAGACCTAATATTGCTAGTGGAATCAAACCTACTCCTCTGATGACATTCATGCATGTAACCTACAAAAGAAGATTGTGAGTATTGCAATAATTAGGTACTGAAGTACTTAACCATTCCACCACCGAGCCACTTCAGCTCACAGAAACAGCCAAACAGACATATTTTTTAAACAAGACTCAGTTTGCATTAAAAACAAGAATATCAAAACAATTTTTTTAAGCAGCAGTTGAATTGCTTCCTCGATTGGATTAACGTTTTCGTACTTCTTGTCTTGAGAATTATCTTAAATTATACTCAATTCATTTGAATACATAGTCTTTGTCGCTAAAATTGTCCATAGCATTTCGATTAGAATTAAATTATTGGGTATTTAAGAATACAGACATTAGACAATGTCTTCATGCTGCGCAATCATTCTCAGATCAAAAGTCGATAGATCTATTCTACGAAAATATTAAAACAGCCTTTAAGTAATAACATTTTTGACAAAGCAGGCTAATCGCTCATAATCAAGTTGAATACACGATTAATTTGCATATTATAGAATCTAGATTCCACACATTAAGGATAGCGAAGTAAATTTGGAATAAAAGAGTCATTAATGACTAAGAAGCCTACGTTAGTTGTCTAGACGCGGCATAAAAAGGAATCATTAATCATTGTAGTAATTTCCGAGAAAATTCATGAAAATTTAATTAATGCATGTGGAAATTGCTGTTTCGTCGACTTTCGGCTCGCATGTATCATGTCATAATGTGAATTAAGGACACCGAATATTTTTGTTCAAAGTATCACAGCACCAACTTAATGAATATAATAGTGTCCATCTTAAATTAAGATTATTTGGCCAGGGACCTCCTTAAAACATTGACATGACCCCTAAAAGTCATTCAAAAAATTAAGATTTCTCTGGTCAATGTCTGGGAACAGGAAAAGTTACTTTTGAAGAAAATTAAAATTTTATAATGAATACAAACGATTAAGCAATGACAATCCGAAATTTTGTATTGACGTCACATTTCATGTCTTACTTTGTTCCTCTAAGTACAAAATCTTGAAGTTTCTGTGGTGGCGGGTCATTTTGATCGAAGTTGGATTAATGCTCAGCATTTTAACTCTATAAAAGTAGTCCTTTGTCCTCTTTTTGGCCTTTTGAAGCTAAAATGCCTCCAAGGATTTATAAATTGTTGGGTAGGGTAGTTTTGTTTTTGTATGGAATTAAGAGATTTGGGGGGCTTGAATCAAATAAACCCTTCTTTAAAACAGCCCTAATACAAGCAAGCTGGCGGAACTGATTGGTTCCGCGCCCTTGAATGCAGCAAGAATAGAGACCTGTAAATAATTCGTTTTGAGGTCAAAGTGGCGTTAGCTTGGTGATGCACACGAACCAGTGCTATCTAAATGACTCAATACGACCACATCTCAAATTTTTGGAACCAGCCTATACAGAGCCTTGAAAATTTTAGACCATCCATAAGTAAGAGCTTAAATAATGGACAAGGTTTTACCTTAAACTTCCATCCCATTCGTCTGGGAATTAAGAATATATAACAAAGTTATCAGTTCAACAAGCGAATCTCCTTAAATATCAAAGCTCGTTTAAAAACAAGATTTGAGAACCTGAATACATTTAAGATTGTCCTGGTCAGTGTCTCTGTTTTTCCAGAAAACTGCATATCAATTGCCTTATTAAAATACAAAAAAAGCCACAAATCAGCCTTAAAAACACATTTTGTAAAAATTCTGTGCAGGTTCTTTTTTAACCGCATGACGTCCGTCATCATCGACTCCTGCTTTCTTCTATACATTCGATTAAATATACATTACTATTGATACATGATTAATATTTCTTTTTATTAATTCTTTCAAACTTACCGGTTGTTTTTTTGTGTTCAGCCTCAAATCTACGCAGATAGTTGCTTGGTAGTGACGTACTCCGAAAAAAAAAAAAAATACAAAAATGATTTAACCTTTCATACCGGCAAGGCTATAAATTATTTTACATTTCAATCTTTGTACTGACGCAGAGATGAGTGCTTTATATTCTTGTACACAATAAAAAGAAGTAAAAATTGAAAGGCAATCTGCAAAAAAAATGGTTCCATTAACTTTAACGCAGAGGTGAAATCAAAAAGAAGTTTTTTTTTTCTGTTGGGTGAGGAATTAAATATTAATGTGCATTATTTTATTGCTTTTAATTCTATTTCAAATACATGCTTTAATTAGATTGTGAGAAATAATATTTGAGTTGATTCTGGATTTGTGAGTAGGATTTGTTCATAAATGATGACGATCTAAAAGTTTGAATTTTTGAATCCATGTTCTTGGACTTTTGCAATTTTTTTTTGTGAATTTGCATTTTGGTTTTGGTTTCCGGGTATTGAACCCAGAATTCAAAGCCCAACCCCACTATACCATTCCTGGTTATTCATCTTAGTATGTCTAACCTCTCTCCTTCCTCTTGCTACCTGGGTAAGTTATATACGTAACTTATGAATACCCTCTTAAGCTCTTAATATGTGCTATTTTAATTTTAAACGGATGTACAGTTTATAGTTTTAGATTAATTAATTAATAGCAAATAATAACTTCCGAGTAGGAACAAATGAAATGTTGATTTTTAAATAAATTTTTTCATGCTCAATGTTGCAGATATTGAAGATTTAAGAAGTATCTTCCGATCTTTTAAATTACAGTCGATTGACATTGAAAAAACATATTTTTTTTTTAAAAAATAAATAATTGGCACAGGGAAGTAGTAAAAGTGAAGGATATTCAAGCAGGCCTTAATTATTGTGAATAGTTGTTTTTATTTGGAAGTTGTAAATTAATAAAATGAATTACCAGTGGCAAGTGTATTTAAGTGGAATAGAATTTGCAATATTCGTACATTTTTCGTGGTCTGTTGCTTAAGTTTCATAACTATTTCTCTTATTTCAATGCCTTGCTAAGGCTTCTAATGTCTAGTTTCTTAATTTTTCTTGACTATACTAGCTTTTATACTATATTGACTATACTGACTTCAGAAATAACAATTGTATTAATTTTAAACGTTTCAAACCTTTTTTAGCCATTTAAAATTTAAAATTTCATTAGCTTTTAAAAAATAAACGTCATTGCCAAAATGACCCTAACCCAGAAATTTAAATTAATTTTGCTTCCAAATAAAACATTTAAGGCCTTTTCTTGACACATTTCTTAAATGAAATTTCCCCAAAATATCGGTAGTATGCCTTCTCAATGAGCATCAACGTCATAGCACAGCCCAGTCCATAACCGAAAATTAGGAATGCAGGACGTGTATCAATCATTCCCACAGACACAAAATTCGAATTACCAGAATGACATTTTGGTTTCTTCGTATAAAACCGAGCATTCTCTCGAGCTTGTAATCCATGCTCCTGAAGTCTCAATAATCCAATTTTAAAATGTTCCTTATATGGTGACTTCTTTCTCACAGCATAAAATGGATCAATTACTTGAAGATATTGTATCTCTTGTAATCCACATTTCTCGTCCTCTTGAAATATTTCACTAACAAATTTATAACCGACACCTACTTCCATGTGAAATGCAAAATGACCGTCACGTACTCTTCCTATCCCTTCTGACATGTTATAAAAATTCTCTCCACCGTCCTTCCTCCTTATTTTATTCAAATAAATTTCCCTTCTGACATTTTCATCTGCATGCTGTTTACGGATGGCGAAGAAAAACAATAAAGATTAAAATTTTATAACAAAACACACGAAATATATTTCTTTTGGCATGGCATGTAGGAATGAAGTGTAAATACCAAAAAACAAAAATAGTGAACTGTTTAAAATGAGATAATCGGGCTTCCTCGTACTTTTTATAAGTATATTGTATGCATTAAGTTGTGAATAATGGAGATGCTTGAAACGTGAGCTTTAAGATGTACAAAATATTAAGAATCTTAAAGACTTTAAACATTTTTCACTGGCTTGATACTAATGAAGATTGAATCTTTAATCGAAATTAATAAATTACATCCATTAGAAGTTTTCAGGCTTTCTTAATGGATAGGCTAGGTTATTTAAAATTTGATGAGGAACAGTTTTCTTTAATTTTAACTTCCAACAAACATCGCGTCAGCTTCCAACTTCTGACAGAAACTACCAACCGTCAGCAATTAATAAAAGCTTAGCATCTGCTTGGAATTGAACCCATGTTCTTCAAAAATGTAAAGTTATAGATTCAACTCGAACATAGAGGCTTGATTCTCATATTGGCAGAATTGCCTATTTATGACTCAAAACTCGAGATTCCACTCTACTCCATCACCACAACATGTTGCCTCAATAAAATTTTGATACTTAAAATATACTCTTAAGGAGAAAAACATTTCAGAATGAAAGACAATCTTTACTGCATTAAATCTTTTCTTCATCCACTTCTCAAAAGATTTAATCCAATAGACTAGAAAACACAAAGACTTCTTCAATTCTTTTTATCGTATTGTGCAGTGCCTTTCCACAATGATAATAGTTAGTATCGACCCTTATTGAAACAAAAAATAAAACTCAGTGGATTAACTGCCGAACTTAACTTCTTATCGAGGCAATAATATCACAATTTCAAGTGTATTTAACTTGAATGTAATGTCAATAGGGATTAAGAACAATGTGTTTCTGATATCAATGTATTTTAGATTTGAGAGGTGAAAATCTTCTTTATTGATGCATTCATCGTACCCAACTCAATAAAAAATGTCAGTCGGCTAATTTTTCTTCCGAGGCTTTTTAAACAGGCTTTCGTTGACATAAAAATGAGAATTCTTTGGAATTCTTATCATATAAATTTGCATATTGTTGAAAGTCATTTCTAATTTTATTGACCAATAAGACTTGCATGTCTTATAGTCTAAATATAAAAAAATTCTGGTTTTCATAACAAAAAATTGTTTGCGTATTAGCAAACACCTGAATGTTGTTCTTAAAGATTTCCGATAATTAAATCAAATTTTGCTCTTTTTCTACCAGACAAGATTTTAACAAGTTAATAATGTACATTGACTCATGGGTTTTGGGACTAATGATAATGCGTTACTGGAACTAAAGCCTGTTCTCTTGAATTTCAACTTTTGGCGCAACTTTGTTTACTTTTACCTCAAATCTTTGGACTTGAATTATGTCTCGAATATTCATATTAAATTGATTCAAAGTGCATAAGTATGCTAATTGGAAGTGAGCAAAACGACTTTAAGTTAAAATTTAACATAAATCAAACTCTTAAGTAGCAATCCAATCAAAAAAATTAATTCCATAAACAAAATGGCGGAAAATTCATTTTCTTTTCATCGCATTTCTAAATAAAAAATCCCAAACGCATTGAAAAATATTTTCCAACAAGCAATTTCCCATCCTTCTCTAGAATTCATCTTAATATTTTATAAAATCATTTAATTTAATGGAATTGAATAGCATTATGTACCAACCTTAAAGTAAAAATGGTTGAAGACCGTATCATCGACTCCGAATTCTAAACGTGAATTTAATAAATCAGCAAGGGTTTGAATTTTATTCGAAGGGCTTTGGAGCAATGCCACGATGTTTGCTGAATAGCTAGCATATAGGAACATGAATGCTGTAAATGAAATGTACATAATCAACCTCGATCCATATGCTTTTGGTACTTGAACAATTCCTTGTTGCGTAATCGCACAATACAATGTAAAAAATGAATCATCTGAAAAGTTGAAGAAATTAATATTTAATGTCATGCTGCAAGGCAATAAAAGAACAAAAAAAACTTTTACTTAGTGATGGTTTTATGATCCCGATATTTGATTTCCATTCAGTGAAGAGTGAAAAGTATAGGAATAAAGCGGCAATAAAAGGGGATATAATCAAACAAATCCATACGTCCTCGTGAAAAGGGAGAACAAACACGTTCTCGGTGAATGATAATTTTGGTGAACGAAACACAAATTTAGAGCGAGTTTGAGATGTGCATATTAAATAGTCTATAACGTCAATTCTATCCGATGTTAAGAACAATGGTGAAGCTCCGATGTCAGCCTTATTATTTATTAATTCCCCAATCATTCCATTCCATTCATTTGTTTTATTGTTCTTGTATCCCCACGTGCTGTTGAAAAGGGAAGTGAAATTTAGAAGGGATCATTCACAAATGACATACAGTTCTTCATAAATAGGACCTCTTCAGATCAGTTGTACTCCAACTATTACTTTATAGAAGGAAACTGTCATAGACTAATTGACGTTATTTACGAACGACCCCAAAAGTTTTAATCTGATAATTCCTTAAAATCTAATCACATTTAAATAAACTGTTACAGCAGAAGGTCAAATAATGACACTAAGTCGCTCAAATCTAAATCTTAATGTCATTTTAATTTTAAGACTTGTTTTTGGCACTCATGAATATTAATAACTTTTTTTAAAAAAATTATTTCATTCCAAAAGTATTTGAAATTCAAATTAAAATTTTGCATCTTGGGATTTTATGACGAAATAATCCATTAAGAATAAGAAAAATGTTCTGTACCTTTTGAGAATAGAAACGTCATTAACCTCTACAACAAGTTCAAGTTCAACCAATCCATTAAGTATTCTCATCTTTTTATCTCAAAACAATCGACTTTCTGTCAATCGGACTAAGCTTTTAATGCTAATTTTGCATCTCGTTTTAATTTTAATTCAAGAATATTTTATTAAAAAGCAATTAAAATAGAAAATTCTTAATGGATGAATTCAATAGTAATTAAAAATTCAACTTACTCTACAAATGAGTATCCAGCAGATGCATTAAGCCATTCTATCACTAGATTTGTCAGCTTGTAATTGAGTTTTGTTATCGTGTCGATGTGAGTATCGCTGTAGATTTGAAAAAGAATAATGTTTACAAGAATATTATATTCGCGCAGCTAACCACGACAATGGTGAGCATGAAAAACAAGAGAACAGCATTTCTTGATGTATTCTATATAGCATACATGGTTCTTGATTGTTCATTTAAAACTCTTTCGAAAAGTTTCTGGCCTGTTTTTCAAAATTACCATTTACTTTATTTGATCCGACTGAGTAGGAATTTTGCAAGGTCCCAAAGGTGCAGTTTAAGCATTAGATGGGTTCAGGGTTACGAACTTTCCTTTTGAAGAATTTCTAGCAAAACCCTTGGCTGAGGAATTTTGTTTTTTGAAAGATTAAATTAACCATTAAGGATACGAGACTAGTCAGTTACTCAGCTTGTGCTACTCGAGGTCTTAGAAAGTAATTTTTTTTATTATATTCACACCGTTTTCAATCTATTGGTTTTGTTCAGATTGAAAAATCAGTTTTTCACATTTTGTGAGAAAACAAAGCAAAATTGGTTATAAAAGGGCAAGAAGAAAAGTTTATGCCTGAAATTTTACATCATTTTCAAAAAACAGATTTCAAATTGGTTGTGGCATTGCTGAGAAAATCGCAAAATATGCTTTCTGTAAGCAAACAAGCAAGCAAGCAAGTTAATCAGCAAGAAATCTCAATAACGAGACATCGTAGAGACTTCTAGTTTTTACATTTGATCCGTGCTGCTCTATAGAAGCACGGTATTGTTTTTGGGCAAGGTGGGAACAGCCGTTGCTTCAGAAATGGCAAAAAACTTTCCTTTCTTACGAATTTTTTAAAACAAAAGTTGACTGTGATTTTTATAAAATTCAACTTTGGATGAAAATTTTTTTTAAAAAACTTTTAAAGAATATTTGGCATATTCGTCAAGCTTTATACCTTCAAACTTATGCTGACTCGATAGCTTTATATCTTCAAACTTATGCTGAGCGTAGCTCAGCTTACGCGATAGCTTTATAACTTCAAACTTATGCTGAGCGAAGCTCAGCTGCCTCTCTAGCTTCATATCTTCAAACTTATGCTGAGCGTAGCTCAGCTTACGCGATAGCTTTATAACTTCAAACTTATGCTGAGCGAAGCTTAGTTGACTTATCAAGCTTCATACCTCCATACTACTGATGGGCAAATCTTGGTCTATCCATAAGACTTATGATAGTACGGTGTGAATATAATCCGCATTGGGTTTCTACCCGATACACTAGTTTAAATCATAGTTTAATAACCATCGGTGCTGTCCAAATGTGTTCAAACAATCAATCACAAAAAAAATACTCAGTTCCTAACAAGCCACAAATATGAACAACTTCATTGATAACTTCCAAATGTCTTAACCCATTCCGATTTCAGTTATCTCATAAAAAATATTTTTTTTTCTATTTCGACGCATTTGTTGGCACTTTAAACGGATTTTAATGGTGTCTGTCTGTCTGTCTCTTTGTTTGATTCCGCATATCAAAATTAAGGTCAGCTAGATTATAATTTTTGGCATAAATAACTTATTATGGATTTTTTTTTTTTAATATCATGTGCGAGTTTTGGACTATTTTGGGAAAGTGCGTTTAGAAATTTTATAAACTTCCTTACTGATTTGCATATGTTATCGTGAAATATCTTCTTTATTTCTATCTTATAGGAACCAGAAATTCACAAATTTCTCAGCAATGAAACAGCGACTGTGGAGTTGCGAAACACTCCCATATTTTATTAGATGTATGGGGTTATCAGTCAATGACGTCTTTTATTTGTTTTGTGATGGGGTTTCAACTATACCTTTCAACCCCTGCCCCTACCCCAATCCTCCCCCTGTCCCATATGTAAATTGAAAGACATCCACTCAACATGAATTGAATGAAACTCACATTTATCAGTGTTGTAAGTTCTAAAGAACGTCATTTTCGAACGTCCCCGCAAAGTTAACATATTCATATTTTTTGTCAAACACCTTTATTTAATGTTAAAAATATGAACTTACTGATAGTTATCAAGATTGAATTTAGAGAAGTTGTTCGTTGTAACTAAAGAAGCATTCAGCTGCAATAAGTTGAAATTTCTTCTTCTCATTGACGTAATTTTGATTTGTCGATGATCTATAAATATCCTCTGGTCTTTATACCATGTGCCAAAATTCTCAATAACAAGAGAATATCCATTTGAAGGACGGTAAGCTGTTAAACGAGTGAACAAAAAAAAAAGGAATGTTTCAAAAGCTTAAAGTTTAATGTCAGGGGTGAAGCTAGGAATTTTTTGAAGAGGGTCTAATGTGATTCAGAACTGGATCTTGTACTTGATATCTCAAGGGATCCTGCATATCAAGACGTATTTTTGATGTGTTCTAGATCCAGTTAAACATTTTACATGACATTTCAAACAAATATGCAGTTCTAGACCCTAACCCCTGACTACATCCATAACTCGTTAATTAAGAATCTTACCCTGTTTGACCTTTATTGCTGTTAGATTCTCTAGCAGGTAGAAAAACTCAGAGTTGATTGAGAATTGCAATTTTTGTAGATTTGTATCATTAATGAATGCAATGATGTTAATCTTGCTGAATTCAATGTTCGATAGCTTAAAATAAATTGCGTTGAAGTTTTTTTTTATTTTTTATTTGTTTGCAAATAATTTATGGCTGTAAATGAGTAGGTCATATTTTATTATTGCAGTGAGAAATATGAAAATGGATATTGTCCCAAGAGATTATTGTATTTCAATTCTTTTTTTTTTGTTCTTTGACTACTGTGTACATGTGTATGGATAAAAACTTTTTATAGTTCCATGCGTAATTAAATTCGGAATTTTTGTTTTTGTTCGCACGATTTTATGGCAAAGCATTACGGCGTTTCGAAAAATGTGGAAGTAATCGATAAATTCTTACATATTTTTTTATAATTTCTGTGAAACTAGTTGACTTGTTATTACTGAGGAAGTCACTTATTATGTCAATCTTTTTCTGACCCGCAAGAATTAACAGGATCATATATTGATTTTGTCGAGGCGTGCTTAGTCAACTATTAAACATGAACTTTTGGATGAAACTTGTGCTGTCTAGTCTAAGTCTTTCTAATAATAACATTAAGAGTTCAGCATTCTTTCAGCTAGAGTAAACTCATTTGCCTTAAGCATATAAACAAAAGGGAAAAAATTATGAGAACCAGTAGATTATTTTGAAGAAAATACTTATAAAAGAACAAATTATAGCTAAGAATGCAGTATCCCTGAGGTCGACAGAGCATAATGGAATGATCTAAAGATTAGAGTCTAGTGGGAAACGAACCTTTGTCTTCATAAACGAAAGAATTTATGCTTTAACAATCTACTGCTGCCTAACAACTTAGCTACAGAGCTTTTGCTCTCAAACTGACGAATTTGGCAACATACTCAATATACTTTACCATTTTGCTCTAAAACCATACCCAGGATGTCACTTTATCATACTTATTGACCTAATATTGATGTTTGATCAACTCTAGTGGGTTTTCTGGCAATCATTTCTATCTTATCTGATCTTATGATTTCTACGAATATCAAAACTACTTAAAGTGTATAGCTACGCATCCATTTCGTAATATTTAATCATCCATTAAGTGCCAAATATACAAAATCAAGCATAAATAATAAAAACCTTTGTTAGAAATTCCAATTCTTCCTCACAATTTGCATCAATTAAAAGCCAGTTACGATGAGAGTTATCATAAAATATTTCTTGCCTCTTTTCAACTTTTGCGAGTATGTATTTTTTATTCAAGGCCTTCATTAGTTCAAGTTGCTCGTCTATAATAAAATTATAATGTTTACGACTAATCTCAATAAAAAAAAAATATTTTTTATTCAATGTAAGCATGTTAACTTACCGAAAAGCCAGCATGTCTTGATATCAATTGAGCGAGAATTATTTATGAGATTTAAAATACTCGTTATCACTTCAGTTACTTCTGAAATGTTCCTTCCATTTGCTAATGAAATTAATAGACAATGTAGAACAAGAAATGAAGACTTTCTTGGCATCATTTTCGTCCCCAATTGAATGGAATTATGATTTTCACAATCTTTATATAGATTTGTCTTATTTTTTTGTGGGAATCGATACACCTGGATTCATTCGGGCAGCCTCAAATTGTTTATTTAGCAATTTTCATCAATTTTCTTTAAACGTTGGCAATTTTTGGTTTTATTAAATCATGTCTCATGGAGCTTTGAACTGCAAATTCTGTTTGTCTACCTCGAAATCAAGAATAATTGATTGCAAGCTACCTTCGTAAATTTCAAACAATTTTCAGGGCACACAAATAGAATTAAGAATAAATTAAGGCTAGTAGGATTTAAAAATTGAAAAAGGAAATTTCACAAATGTGATGAAAGATTTCGTTGCGATTTTTGAAAATAATTTAAACTTTTTTTTTATGCAAATCTTTATCAGGTTTGGTTTTTAGCAATAAAAATCAGCGCGAGTTGAACGACTTGATGGAGATTTTGTTGATTAAAAACAAATAAATGCAGAGTTGACAATCTCTACTTCCCAGTTAGACAATTGGCGTCGTTGATATTATCAAGGATTTACGTTCTGATACAAAAATGAGTTCCAATAGATAGCTTTTTATAATTCATTTGATGGACGTCATTTGCAAACTATCTTACATGTAATTCAGTCTACTGGACTTCTGATTATAGTAAATATATTTTTATGCTTAAGTTCCTAAAAGCTCCTTGATCTACATCAGTGTTGTGCACTAGTGTGCCGTAGAATTTTTTCGAAAATACCACGCTCTGTGCTTTTTGAAAATGGCTTACCCGAATGTCACAAGTCGGTTAATCGATCAGTAATCCAGCACAAAGACGGTGTGACTCTGACATAGTGCTGGATTCAAATCGAAACTAGCACTATGACAGACTCATGCCGGCTGGGCACTGGATTTCTATTCGATTAACCGACTTTTGCCATTGAGGTTACTATCAAGGTGTGCTGTGGCTCAAAAAGTTTGGACAGCACTGATCTACATGTTCTTAATACAACCTTATTTCTATAGTGTCAAGCTTTTAGCCATTTATGTTCTCAAAGCTGAGACAATGCATCAGGAATCTCTTACTATCTTGAGTGGAACCCTTAGTTCGATTCCTTTCAAAATTTAGAAACACTTTGTTAAATTTGTCGAATGAACTATTATTATTTATTTGTCGACGTTACCGTCCGGAAGAATTAGTATTTATCAGAGTTTGAAAATAAAATGAAAATTGCTCTATTTTGAAAATAAATCAAAATGAAAATTATGAAAATTGCCAATTTTGATCAAAGCAATTTTGCAATTTTGTCAATTTCAGAAAATTGCAATTTTGGAAATTGTTTATTTTCCAAAATTGCAATTTTGGAAATTATCAATTTTTATTTTTGTGACGTCATAAATATTTGATGAATAATTTTGTATGAAAATTTTCTTCTTTTTAAATGAATTTTTTCTTCAGAAAAACAAAAAATACAGTTTATTTCCTTTAAATTTATTAAAATTTATATATTTTAATTAAAATTTAAATTATGATTATGAGCATTATGAGTACCTTTAATTTAAAATAAACTTAAAGGAACAATGCATCAAACACGCAGGAATTAGCAAGTATTAAGTTAAAAACGAATATCAACATCCAGGAAATAAACTGTATCTTTTGTTTTTCTGAAGAAAAAATTCATTTAAAAAGAAGAAAATTTTCATTCAAAATTATTCATCAAATATTTATGACGTCACAAAAATAAAAATTGATAATTTCCAAAATTGCAATTTTGGAAAATAAACAATTTCCAAAATTGCAATTTTCTGAAATTGACAAAATTGCAAAATTGCTTTGATCAAAATTGGCAATTTTCATAATTTTCATTTTGATTTATTTTCAAAATAGAGCAATTTTCATTTTATTTTCAAACTCTGGTATTTATACAAGTTTTACTTTTTACATTGATTAGTGATACATTTCATATCACTATGGGTGACGTAGAATCAAGCTTCTAATCTTCAAATCTAGGTTTCGATTAAATTCAGGCTCTCGTTTCAATCTTCTGTGGGCGTGACGTGATACATTTCAGGTCCGTTCTGACAATATTCCATTATAAGGTAATCTTGTTGCTCTCGTTCCTATTTCTCCCGCTACACTTCAAGTTCCTGATCCGTTCCTTAATCCAACGTTGCTCAAAATGCCCAATTATGGCTTGATCTCGTACATTAAGCAGTCGAAGTATCTAAACTTCTGAAAAAGAACAAATTTGGAAATAGCTGGATTCGAACCAACGACCTTCGAGTTACTATACCAAATTTGAGCCAAGCGCCTTACCTATTCAACCAGCAAGGCACTTAATTGCATAAGGATATCTAGAAAATCTAACCACTTTCTGAATAAAGTGTTCAGATTTATTTGGGGCTACCAATTGATCATTAAAGAGGCTTCCTGAAGGTTTTTATGGTCCCCATTAAAGCAGTCTGATAATCAAAATATGAGAATTATGCGGTTTACAGCTCAAATTAGCCTCTCGATTGGTAAAAATTATTAAAAATGTAAAAATAATTGAAACATTTTCACCAATCCATAAATATCAGATGAAAATCAATTTTACTGCCTGTCCAATTATCTCCGTTCCTGGGATATAAAATATAATTTAATTATTTAAAAAATATATCGTAATTAATGTCAATCGTAAATAAAATTTTTCCCTTTCTTCTTTTAGTGATATTCAATCAAGCGTGTCCATATCTGATGAAAATCACTGCCGAGAGATGTCATAAAAGATTATTAAAGGATTTTATTAGTACTGATGACTGGGCAAAATCATCCCTTATAAAAACAACATTTAAGCAGCCATAAAGGACAGTCATAAAATGAAATTCATTCTTGTCACAGTTCTTTTGCTGTTCCAAAACATCTCCTGTGAGCACGATGAGATTTTGGTCCAAGCTACTACTGAAATGGCTGCACATGTCTGTGAATCTGCTCAACTTAATGCTAATTTGATCATAATAAAGAGAAACATTGAGAAAAATCATATTTTTGACTTCCTTGACGACTTGTTGAAAAGATTGCTTGATGTCTGTGTAGTTCGAGTAAAGGATATCGACAGTTTCAGTCAACCAGATCCTTTAAAACACTCAATATTCTTAATACATTCGATGGATAATTTCTGGGAATATCGCAAGCTCTTCACATCAAAAGTATTTGACTTCCGAAAATTTTTCCTCTTCGTGATGCTGAATGGAAAGGAATACAATTTCGAGATGATGATGCAGAGCATGTGGAAGATAAATATTTACAATGTAAATATCATATATGCTGAAAATAAAAACGAAGCTTCTGTCTTAACATTTTTCCCATTTCAAAGAAATAATTGTGCAAATACTCATCCCGTAATCATAAATAAATTTCAAAATGGGAGATTTATAAGCAACGAGGGGAAGTTCTATCCGGATAAGTTTAAAAATTTAAACAATTGCTCGATACGAGTTGGGACGTCACTAGATGCGAGCCCTTGTGTAGAAGAGAAAGTTTCGGAAAATGGTCAAAAATATCCAAGTGGAAGTGATATAAGTGTATTAAATGGTTTATCGGAAGCATTAAATTTCCATATAGATTACACGTTCACAAAATCGCAAGGATATCTCGATAAAGACGGAAATGCTGATGGTCCCTTTAAATTGCTTTTAGAGAAAAATGTTGATTTGGGTTTTGATTGTTATTGGCTAACTAGAACAAGATTGGAACATCTAGATAGCACTGCTGCATACTATAATGACTATGCGATTATTGTGGTATCTCCAGGTAAAGAATTTAGTGCCTTTGAGAAACTCGAATATCCTTTTTCATGGACTGTTTGGATTTTATTACTGACAACTTCCATTGCCGGTTTGATTATCATTTGTATTGTAAAGTTTAGTCGGTCTAAGCGACTTCAAAACTTTATATTTGGATCTAATGTTAATGCTCCGGATTTAAACATGCTGGCAGCACTGTTGGGAGGCGCTCAAAGTATTTTACCGAAAGGAAATTTTGCTAGATTTCTTTTATTCAATTATCTAATGTTTGCTCTTAATATCCGAACATTCTATCAAGCATTGATGTTTCATCTCATGCAAGCAGAACATCGACATCCAGAATTGCAGAGTATTGATGAAATTAAGGCAAATGATTTAAGCATCTTTGTATTGAAGACGTCAGCAGAACTTTTCATGCATAATGAGAATATAAAGTCGAGGTAAGATGAAGTTTCTGGATGTGGTTTAGAGTGCGCCAATAGATTGTTTTTGTGGATCTTCAGTTCTTTTTAAATACAGATGTTAATCTTTAGAGCCCTTCAAATTCAGTTGTTCAGAACCTTTGAGAACTCAAAAATTCTATTGTTCAAAATCGAAGAATAATTTCTAATATCCTTAATATTGGCTCACCATTCTAAAGCTTTCCTTAATGATTCTCGCAAGTATTCTCACACGTATAATATCACGAAGTAATGCTGGAAAATATTTTTTGATAAATTATTATAGAATTGTGAACATCACAAGTCAACAGAGGGAAGAATATATGAATCAACTTATTGACAATCCATCATTTAAAGGAACTCTCATCTTGGGAAAATACAAAGTTATGCATCGTAATTATCTCAATAGAGGTATGGAGCAAATAACGATTTGTAAGGAGCATTTAATGAGTCTTGCCGTTGTCTTCTACACGCCAAAGAATTTTTATTTAAATGAAAAGTTGGACGAAAAAATTTCATTATTTATGTCCGCTGGTCTGATAAAATATTGGCATATATACGAAACAAAAGTGTGGAATGAGCAAGGTGAAGCGGCAAAAGTTTTGACACTTCATCATTTGTTTGGTTCCTTTCAAATATTAATGTTGGGAGTTGTCGTATCGAGCATCGTTTTCATCATTGAATATTTATGGAATTTTTTGAAGCGATGAACAAATTTATTTTGAGGAAAAACTTTTTATTTCGTGTTCCTATCAAGCAATGATGTAGTAAGGGAGTTCAACAACAACACCCCATCATGCTCTTGAGGACGAACCTATTTATAAAGTTTCTAGCTACATCCCTGATTTATCAAGTCTACTCATTGAGCGTTGCTCATAGCACAAAATGTAAATGAATTTTTAAATAGTTTTAAAACTTGAATTAGAATTGAGAATTATTGATCAACTTCTAAATTTAAAGAAACTCATCTCTTTTTTTTTTTTTTTTTGTTTAAAAGTTCATTTATTTATATCAAACTTAAAGTTGTGTTATAAATTTATACAAATTAATTATTGCAGAGAGAGAATAAAAAACAAATTACTTCATATTCAATTTAATTTAATTAGCATCAAAATACAATTCCAAATAGTGTTCTCTCAAACGATTTTTAATAATGCTCAATGAATGAAAAGCCTTTATCTGCTGTGGAAGATTATTGAAATCCGCAAATGCTCTAATGTAAAAATTCTGCGCTCCTTGACTAGTGCGGCACATTCTTATTGTGAAATTTCCTCGATTTCTTGTCGAATGATTATGAATATCGCTACCTAATTGTATTTCGACATTATTTTTAATTAAATTCGATGCAAATTTAAATACTTGAAGAGAGCAGTTTGTTTTACACATTACAGAGACTGGCAAAAGTCTAATGCTATACAATATCTCCTTTCCAGCAAACCAACTTTTCCTCAATACAATTCTTAGAGCTTTTCTTTGAAGAATCTCAAGAGACTTCATTTGACCAACTGAAAGACAAGACCAGACTGTACTCATATAACCTAAATGTGACTGCACATGTGCATAGTATAAATCTCTAGCTGTTTTTTCAGATATGAATTTTCTTGCTCTTCGTAACGCGTATATAAACGGAGTAATTCTTTTCTTAATTTCATCGACATGACATTTGAATGTAAGCTGTTCATCAATGATAAGACCTAGCAGTTTTATATTTTCAGACCTTTCTATAGTCGTTCCGTTAAAAGATATGTTTAATGCCCGCTCTGTAAAGCTCTCAAATCTCTTTCTTCCTTGAAATAAGACATATTGTGTTTTCTTAGCATTAGGACTAAGAAAATGATTACTGAGCCATTTGTGAATAAGCATTAAATCTTGTTCTATATTTGCTTTCATTTCTTTTGTATCATTTCCAAAATTGACAATTGACATGTCGTCGCAGTACAAATATAAATTTCCATTTAATTTCAAATTGAAGACACTATTTATGTATAAATCGAAGAAAGGTCCTGATAGTACACCGCCCTGAGGCGATCCTACATTAATTATTAGAAATTCACTTAAATTTCCATCAATACTGACTGCCTGCTTTCTCCCATAAATGTATGAGATCAGCAAATTTAGAAAGAAGGGATCAAGAGCTAATTTACGCAATTTTTGAATTAAAATGTTAAATTGAATGCAATCAAATGCTTTACTTAAATCGATGCATGTAAGAGAAACTGTCTTTCTTTCATCAACGAATCCATAAATATCATTGAGAACATGTGTTACCGCAATTTCGCAGTTTGATTTTCTTACGTAACCAAACTGGTTTTTATGTATTATGCTATTATTATCTAAATGAGTTTGAAATCGTCTATAAATCACATACTCAAATATTTTGCCAAAGATAGGATTTATGGTTATTGGTCTATAATTATTGCAAGTGGTTTTACTACCATTTTTGAAAATTGGCGTTACAATTCCTAACTTTAGTACTTCTGGGAATACACCCTGAAACATGTACTTGTTTAATAATTTTGCTAGATTTTTTAACAGCGCATTCTTGTGAAATTTTACAAATGAATTTGACATCCCATATACATCAAGAGCATTGGATGATTTCAAATTTTCGATTACTAATTTAACTTCATCTTCTGTTACGGAAGGACATGTAAAATTGCTATTTATTTGATAGACCTCGCTTCTCATTAAATCATCATATTCCGATTTATTAATATTAATTTTACTAGTAATTTCCTGCGATACGTTAACGAAAAATCTATTGAAATGATCAGCAATTGATTGCTTTTGATTTATTGAGATACCGTTATCAACTAGTAGTGAGCATGTTTGTGTAGAGTTTGCAGACTTATTGTAAAGAAGTCTATTTAAATTTTGCCACGTTTTTCTCGGATCTAAATAATGTTTTGCGAATTGCTCTTCAAAATAAGCTTTTTTTGCCGTGCGTATTTCTTTTTTGCTTAAGGCTCTATAATAATTAAATTTCTCTTTTAAGTAAGTATTGTTTGGAAATTTTAATTTTAGCCGTAAGAATTTATTTCGTATGGTAATAATATTCAAAATACGCTGATTAATAAATGGCTTTTTACCAGTACTCTTGATTTCAATTTCTATAGTATTCGTTTTAATTATTTGTTGTATTTGTTGTACATACGTATCGAAACTATCGGCATCAATCTTTTCAAGTGATTTTGTATTATAAATATGACTATTATTAATTATCTTATACGATTTATTCTTTTTGTCATCAGCTACTTGTTGCTCTTTGACTATGTTCAATATAATATTTCTATGATCACCAATGTTGTCAAAATAAAACATATTATATGAAAGATCATTTTTATGATAATGATAGTCTGTAAAAATATGATCGATACACGTGTTTGAATTAAATCTATCGCTTACTCTTGTCGGATATTCATTCGATTGATTATTTAAGAAAATGTGTCCATTAGACTGAATTACGTTCATATAATCGTTTACAGTAGTAGATTTATTAAAAATATTTATATTGTAATCTCCGAAAAAAAATATTTTCTTATGAGCATTTAACAGTATATCCAATTTATTCAAAAAGATAGAGCAGTTCATGTCTAGTGAATTATTCGGTTGACGATAGCAGACCGCAACATTTAGTTGATGTTTGATTAAAGAAACTAATAAAATGTTATTATTATTAATTGATTCTTCATAAATAACGTTTCCTGTGTCAAAATTTTCATTAATAAAAACAGAGACTCCACCACCGTTTCCATTAGGTCGAGTAGAGTGAAAAGCGGTAAAATTGATTAAGTTATAATATTTTTTATCAATTTCTTTTATCCATGTTTCAGTTACAAGAACTACATGAATCGAGTAATTTAAACTGTCTATAAAGTCTTGTAAATCTGTTAGTGAATTACGAAGTGACTGAGCGTTAATATAGAGAAAGTTAATATAAGATAGTCTGTGCACACTATTTGGCAATATATTTTGATGCTTAACATTTAAATTAAAGTTAAAATTGGATATTGGATCCATTTACTGATAATTTTGCTCTAGCTGAGCCATAAGTGTTATAATAATAAAATTCTGTTATCGAATCGAGAATATTGCATATGATTTTGAATAATTTTGTTAATTCCATTTTAATTAAACATTTATTTCCATTTATCAGCTGACTATAACCGCTTTCTAGTTATTAACCGCCAAACAGAATACGTTATTTCAAAATTTTAAAAGGTATAAAGCGTCGCTTCATTACCAAAATATTTAAATATGCAAAAACCAGTACAGAATCTATAGTGATGTGAATATTATTAAACGACTGACATGCATACAGCGCTTTCGTATTGGCGCATTTGAAAAGTGAGCACCTTCGAGCCAGGTGGAAGTGATATTTATTTAAGACTTTTGTTTGATAAGAAACAACTCACTTTCATAGCGCGTGCGTGTGGATTCAATTAGAACACAAATTCTGTATGCATGCGTCCATTATAATGCATGCGGTTCACCTGAAGGTCTTATGCGATCATAATGGTTTCACGACTTAATTATGCTGGATTTTGCTTAATGTTTGACAATTTGACAGGTCAAATTAAACGATTTTGATGTGATGAATTTCAAAAAAAATTATTTCAACGGATTTCTCAAATTTGAATTTTGAAAGTGTTTCACCGTCTAAAAAAAATTATACGAGTTTCAATTTAATAATTTGTTTACATTTACACAAATTTTCCGCTAGAAAGCAGTCATTTAAGCTGACAAATATGATTTAAATTGGACTATTAACTAGCAAGTATAAAGTATAACTGGAAGCTTAAGGAAATCATTTGTAAGCGCATAATTCAATAAAATATCAAGTTAAGAAATTAATTAAAAGATTTTTTTTTTTTTTTGTAGCTTTCCTTGGGTATTATTTAGTGCATCGGATTATAGTTTCGGATTTATTTTATCAATTGAGCGAGGAACTTACGAATCTGTAATGTCCATGATTGCAGTTGGTGATTTATGACTAATCTCAGCTCTAATGCCTGCCATCGTTAAATTCAGCTGTTCAATAGAATCGATTCGTATGCCTTTCTTATTGTTCCCATTTGCCTTTATGTAAATGCTTCCGTTCATCATCCAGCAGCTCTCAATTTTCTTATTCTTCTTATATGTCCTAGCTTCCTTAAAAATTCCTTGATTGATTTTGGTCATTGGTGTTTGGAAATGCAAGACTGAAGCTTTACTGATATCATCTTCAGCTAATTTAAATACTTGCTCGCATGTTATTGGGACGTACTTGTCATCTTGCTTTTGGTGTTTTTTTATGAATTCCATAAATCTGAACTTGTCTTTAAAGCTCCAAAAATGTAAAAATGCGGTATTGGATGCTTTACGTTTCCCATCGGCTTTATTCTTTATCAGTGTCAGCTTTCTGTATCCAAGACTTTCAAGTAAGTTCTTGGACCAGTCATTAATGTTTGCGATAAAGTTTTCATTGGTGATATGAATAGGAACGTCTATTATCATGACTTGCTCATCTAATTTGTTTTGTTTGGCCATGTTGATTTCTGCTTGATTATTCTTAGTAATATTAGACCAATCACTTTGCTTTGTATCCAGAATTTTCATTTGTGCCTTAATGTCATTAACTTCTTTCTTGTAAACTGCTATTTCGGCAGATATTGAGTCTATTTTGTTCTCTAGATTCGGTAGGCTTTCGAGACGATTATTTATAGATGCCAAGTCATGT